CCTCATTAAAAGAACGTTTATGTAGAACTGAATATGAACGTAACCACAGAGACGGGCAAAAGTTGCCTTTGAAATGGCTATAACCCAACCCTACCTGCTGACAGCAGCCCAGGTCTTCCTCAGCCTGTAAACTGCGTTAGACTGAAGGGCCGACAGGATCGCCTTGAGAGAGGAGAAGTTCTTCAACCAATGACAATCCTGCAGAGGAAACAACTTGCTCTCAGTGGATTCACTTCAAATCAAATAGCAATGGTACCCGTGCTTTATGCTGATCACCGTTCTCCTTTTATAAAGGAATTCGACTGACCTGGGCTACTCCGATCCAGTTCTCTATGATGCGGGCCCTTTGAGCTGGTGTAGTGGGAGGCCGGCGGGAGGAGGTGGGGCTGGAGGTGGCGTCTGTCGGCCAGCAGAGCAGGGACATGATGACCTGGTTTGTAACGGCGTTGAAATGTGCAACGGTGGCTCGGATGGTTGGCGACATGTTTTCCTTCTTGTCTCTTTGCGACCACACACAGCCCAGACACTGGTATGGCACCACTTTGACAAACAGAGCCTGAAACGCCATGAAACCCAGTGAGCTGCCTTGAATCATCAATGTTAAACAAGAGAATTGTGGAACATTTCAAAATAAATTTGACCACATACAGAGTCCGTTCGGGTGAGCTGTTCGGCAATGGCTCCAGTGGAGAAATCCATGATGCCACCTGGATCCAGAGAGTGTTCCCATCCCGAATCCTCATCACCAGAACCCTCCTCATCTTGCTCCATATCTGCCGGGGCAGGACTCACATTTGTCTCGACTTCTGCTCAAGAAACACACAGATCAAGAAAATAGTGAGTCTGGCTTTTTGCAGAACGATTTGGCATGATGGCCCGAGGGCAAAAAGCCTTATCATTTTTGGTCATGTCACGTGGGGGAGGGTCACCTTCTATCTGCAAACCCTTGAGCAGGGCCTCAGCTTGCCCAGCCAGCGAGCTGAAGTTGGGCTGGCTGCGCATATTGTTGTGAACTGCGGAGCTGATCCTCAGGTGGTCCAACAGCAGCCTGAGAGCCAGGTGCAAAGGAGGATCCCTGAAGTCCTCACTGTACTCATCCAACCATGTCTGGACAAAGGCCAACAGAGGGCTGAGGAGGCAGCGGAAGAATCATCACAGTTTAACTATTTAAGCAACACTTTAAGCCATAGTGATGTAATAATAATACAAACATTAACCGGATAAGGGTTCAAGCACACTGTAAACTGAAACAGAAGTCATCCACCTACCTCCTGTAGCATTCACTGTTGTCCAGATCGGAGACAGCATTGTCTCTTTTGGGAGAAAATAAAACAACAGACTTTCAAATAAATTATTATTTACTCCCGTCTTGGAGCCAACCTAAGCCTGATCCCGATACATGCCCACCACAGTCTAAAACCGCTGTGTGCATAATTGTTGTTGTTGAAAGCCTCAGGATAATGAGCACCTGCTATGTGCTTATTACGACATCAAAGCAGGCAAGAGATGGTCGCCTTGTCAGGGAAACAATGTATAAAAAGATCCTGACGCAACATGGTGACTTTGCATGTGTGACAACCCAAGTTGTTTTCCCAGAATCTAGCACAACGGAGATGGTTCTTCACCACGTTTGAAAAGGAGCTTGAACTTTCTGATCGGGGAAGATAACCAGAGAAAGAGGCTAAGCTATGCTAAACTGTTAGCACTCGATAGTGGCTGAAAGATTAATAGTAGCTTAACCCAAAGGAGAGAGAAACTGAAGCAGATTGAGTGTAAATTCAAATTTGAATGAGTGAGAACTGAAATAAAATGTATCATCAAGCTAACCATTAGGCATAATTTGACATTTTGAGATATACGCCTGTTCGCTTCCTCGCAGGGAGTTAAATTAGAGGATGGACACTCTCCTGTCTGTATGCTAACTATAAAGCTACTGCCAGCAGCCAGTTAGCTTAGCAAACAAAAATTGAAACAGGGGGAAACATTTAGCCAGTAACAATATCAATCTACCAAAGCCTAAGTAGAATAAAGCTAACCAATTATTGTCATACTTTGGACCATTGTCAGTCTTTGTGCTAAGCTAAGCTAACTTTTGCTATTTACTATACAGACATGAAAGTGGTATCAATCTTTTCATCTTTTCAGCAATCTTTTCCAAAAAGACCAAAAAGGAGTGATCGTACCTCTGGAACAGCAGCTCTATGAGCTTTGAGGTACCGGTGAAGGTTCTGTATGTGGAGAGGAAGATCCTGCCGTAGTCCTGCTCCTGGCTGCCGGGGTCGAGGAGGTGGTTCACCAGGAGCTCCAGGGTAGCAGCCTTCAGACGCCGCACCTTGCAGGTTCGGTACTGCACGAAAGCGCAGCACGGACTCTCTTCACTGGGTTCGGGGGAGGAGGGGACGGGCTCCCGGCGCAGAGTGACCCCATAAACCGCTCCGTCCTCGAACTCCTCGCCCCACTCCTGCACTGGGTTCTGGGGATAGCAGAGGTGGGAAATAATGTATGTGGCTGCCAATCAATGTCGTGCTTGTGTCCTAAAAATATACAGCTACGGGTCAAAACACCAAATATGTATGTATCTGGGATTGTTATCGGTCAAAACAGTGGGGTCAGAGGTTGGGCCGTGAGAAGGTAAAAAAAAAACAGCCAGGTGAACCAACACAAACAAGTGACTCGACATCCCACTGAGACTCACACTAATCCCATGAGAGCTACGATTGTGCAATATTTGCTACGGGCTACTCGTACCCATCATTCCGGGCCTAGAACGACTGCACAAACAGTTTTAGTGTGTAATGATAATAATCATCAGATGCTCATTTCCCTGCTACACAGCCATCTGAAATTTCCCAGAATTTTGTAGGTTCATAGGAGTGTTTATGGACAAATAGAGGATTATCAAAGGTTACATCAAATTGAACACCGAAGCAAAAAATACCACGACATAAGCAAAAGTATCAGCGAGTTTCATCATCAGTCGTCCTCCAACGACCAATAAAAAAAAAAAGAGCCTCGGAGGTTTGTACAGGCTGTTGCTACAGCACCAAGTGTCGTGATATTGTTCAGACGCACTGTTACTTTCTTTATGTCGGACCTTGCTTGATCTCAGCGAGAGCTATCAATCAGTGTTGGAGCGGTGGCTCCTCCAGAATGGTTAACAGCACTTGACACGACAGGGGAACGGGGTTGCAGAGCGCCTCGTTCAGGCTCCCAGATTATGTGAAGTACACCGGCACAACAGCTGCGACGCATAATTTGTGAAGACTGAACACCAGCTGCATTATTAGGTCAGTGCTGGCAAAGCAAGGTAACAAGACTGAAATGATGTCCCTTTCAAATGTCTTTCCATTTTTGGTCTTTGCGGTTTACCTTTTCATCGTCAAAATCTAATTAAAGTAGGACATACGCCACGCCTGCAGAACGCAAGATATGCATTTAAACCTAAAGACACCCATAGCTGCCATCTTTACCATCATTAAAGAAACAGCCGGACTTTTTGTTTCTAGTATGCGAGAGAAGGTCCAAAAATGCTGGATACTACATTTTCCATATTGCAACTTAATGGCATCTTGAGTCACTCTGTGTCAAATCAGATTTTCAGTTTTTAGTTTACATTGCATTTCAGATTTTGTATAAAAGACCACAAAAATAGAAAACATTTTCACTGAATTTTGAGGATTGAAGTCGCCCCCCCCCTGGGAATTCTGTCATTTTTGTGCAAATGTGTTAGACAGGAAGCCATTTTTAGAGTTCAATATTTTCAGAAATGTCACTTCTGGAGCCATGCAGTTTGGTAAGGGCACAGACAAAATGGTGTACAGCAGATCTAAGTGATTGAAAGACACAAGCAGATGTCATACTTTTCATTACTGGCCCCTGGATATGGAAGACAAAGTGTAAAAGACAAGACAAGACAAAGGGTTTTGGGGCCCCAGGCAGTCCCTCAAAGTATGGGCGTTTCAATAATTCCAGTAGTTAATTGATGTGCCAAATTTCAGGCGATCTTACGGAAACAAAATTCGGGAAATGGCAAGTCAAGGTCACATTTGTTGCCATTTTGAGATGGCAAAATATTCAATGTGGACTCATTCCTATAGGAACATGAATATTTGTGTGAAATGGGGAGTTATATGTCTGAAGATATTGAACCCTGAAAATGGCTTCCCGCCTAAGACCTTTTTTTTAGGGTGCGAAAATGACAACAGTCCCAGGTTGGTCTCAAACAGCACATAGATATGGTTTGAACAAAATGTACAATGTAAAGAAAAACTACCTGATTTGACATTCCACTGCCTGCTGAAAGCCCACGTCTTCAAAAACGTTTCAATCCCAAAGCATTGTTCAGGTAACCCTGATGACATCACCGTGACATCATCAGGGTTATTTTTCTTCCAGCTGTTTTCAAAACAAGTAAACTAAACATGAGCATAAATCAGTGGGGGTCCCTTTAAATGCCTCATGCGTTATATAATAATAACAGCAGGAGTCAATGACAGGTCTTACATGACTCCAGTGGTTAACACCCAAATGATTCACAGATCTATAACGATGCCCTGGAGTGAAAACAAGCAGACGTTCAATATTAGTTCATATGCTCTATTTGGAATAGAAAATCAATGGTGTCATGAGCTGTTAGATCTGAATTATTCCATACAAATACACATATTCTGGACAATATGTGCAAACAGTCAGGAGATGAGAGAAACGGCCTTCTCTCACAGCAAGCATTTAAAGTCGGTCATCTCGATGAGAGGACTCACATGTAAATCCTCATATGTAAATGATCATTTAAATGACTTTGTGCAAGGAGAGAAGTCTCAGGCTGCCGTGTCTGCCGGTGCCGACAAGCATCACACAAAACCCCATTGTCTCCCAGACGTCGTTTGTTCGCTGCACAGATGCGAAACTGTGCATTGTGCCTATGGTGGTACCAAGCACTGCACTTACAGCCAAGTCTACAATCAGAAAACGTATCCATGAAGATGTGATTGTGTTGCCTCTGCAGCATTAAATATGAATGAAAAAGCAGATCATGGAGACAGAGTTAAACAAATGGAAGTAAACACAGTCAGTTTGTATTATCAGTTATGTTTCTTCCCAGCATTCTTCATTGTTACACTAAATAAGGTTTTTACTAAAAACACACTTCATTTACAGCAAATGTTATTGCAAATTTAAAAATCAAGCTAAGATTTGTTGTTGTTGTGCAGAATATTGATTTTACCCAGATGGCAAGGATTCTCCAGAACAACATTAAATGTTTCTTAAAAAAATAACATCTGGGTGTTTCATGCATTGACAGGTATTCAGTTTTCAGGGGGGGGGGAATGTAATGTTAATACAAACTGAGGCTAGACCTTTTGCAGCTTGAGTGTAACCAGCTCATTCCCACTCAAATTTAATTTACAGGGATTAAAAAAAAAGAAGAAGTATTTGAACATGAAGCGTAAGATTGAACTAAGTAGGACTTGTAGGCCCAAATATCTCTTCACATATTAATCATAAAATCACCATTTATTCCATTACAGAGAGTCCCTGACTCGCCCTGATTGGCTCTGTTGCAAATACATTACACAACAAGAACTCGCCTGTTTAGCGGACTTCATTTCTGGATCATATCTAGTTGTCTTACCATTGTCAGCTCCCATTTCCCCATCTCGTCCGGTGTCCTAAGGAGCGCTGCTTTCCATCTTGACAGGAAAAGTTGGACTGAAGGAAAAAAATAACTTCCACCTCGCGAGACAGTGAGTTTATGGCTGCATCTTGATATAATAAAACCTTATTTTTTTTTGGGGGGGGGGGGGGTTACATATCTTGTTTGGAACTACATCGATGCGCCTGTATTACAATCATGAAAGACGACTGCTGCAAAGTATTCGCTACATTCTCTTGCGTGCATAGAAAGGTGGCGGGGCTGTTCCCATGTGACGGGTCCTGTGAGGGAGCGAGAAACTAGACGAGGTCTAAACTGCTCCGACTCGTCCTCTCTCCTTCCTGCTGACTGTGGACTGTCGGACTGGCGCTCACCGGGCTTTGTGGTGGGAGGCGGCTCTCTGCACCGAGAGCTCGAGTGTAGGAGGAGTGAGAGGAGGAGGCGGTGTGTCTGGCTGTGTGCTTGTGGTGGTTGATTTATTTTATACTTTGTCCTCCCTGATTTAAACGTCTTCCAGGCTCTTACCTCACAAGATGAGAGGTAACCATATCATCTATTTACTCGTTTTTGTCAAAACAGCTTCAATGACAAAATCAAATATTTGATGAATAAATAAATAAATATCCTCTGATTTCATGTTTATCTTTTGTTCCATCTTTAACCCTTAATGTTTCTGAGTCAATTTATTATGACAGGCTGAACACACATGAGCCGTCCTCTTTGTTTACCTTTTTTTTACGTCTCCATGCTTCCACTGGTTACCCCATGTTTAAAGTCACATTGCAACAGTGGTGGGCCGTCAGGGTAGACATAATCACAAAGTTATAGCTATTTTATAATTTAATAATTTTTCACAAATACACTACATGTATAATAATATGTTTCCCATTGTCTTATTTTCTCATTGCACAGCTACTGTCTTCCTCAGTTGCTCTGCTTCCAGTGCAGCTTGTTTTAAGTAGAGCTTTTATCCAATCAGATTTCACCTCTGTGTCTCTAGGTAAGAACAGAGGCCCGAGGCCTGCAGACTCACAAGTGAATCCCTTTGCAGTTTAAGTGAATGGGGACGATATTGTTGATTGTCATAGTGTTCAACCAATCAGATCTTTAGTTTGACATGTTGGGCGTATTCTTTGACGTGTCAGAGCCTGCTAGCTGGCCTACAAGTACGTGATTGGTCAGTGGGCTAGCGTGACATGTGGCAAGCTAAAGTGTGGGGAATATCTTTTTCCCTTTTGCCGAGAGTTAGACTCGAAGATTGATACCATCCTCATGAATGTATGGTAGAAAAATACAGCAAGCAGCAGCCATTTAGCTTAGCTTAGCATAAAGACTGGAAACAGCTAATCCCAGTTGAGAGGTAGGCTACATGCTAACCACCGGTTTCTCTATTTAACCGGCGAAGTTTGGAAAAGCCATGAGGTCTTTTTAAAAACACTTACAGTAACTTACCAGATATATTTATTACATTATTCCGATTGAAGTGCAACATTAAAGTTTGCTTAAATGCATCTATGATAAGGATCTGACAATATAATATATTCACATGCATTCTGCATAATGAGTACTTTTATTTTTGATGCTTTTGGGTCGAGCTGAAATGAAAAAAGCCTCTTTGACCCTTTTAGATCACATCCCCGGTCGTACTGTACACCAATACATGCTTGTACAAAATGATCAATCTCTGCCTATTGTGTTTCTAAAAATCCAATCATCTTTTGTTCCTGTAAAACAAAAGTGTGCTTACGTGAGTACCAACCAATTCCAACTAATAACATCATAACATCCATCAATCAATCTGAGACTTTTAGAGATAAGGGAGGTGTGTGTGGAGCCACAGTCACAGTCAGCCTCAAATCACGCTACATTCTAAGCACGCCCACTTTTTAGCAGTTCAATCAAATGTGAAGGAAGTGATTTAAATACCTTTTGTAACTTTACACCGCTCAAATATTCAGTCTCATTGGCCAATATGTCACAGCACAGAAGCTAAAGACGCTCTAACTTCCATTTAATTGTAAATATTATTACCGATACTTCTGTACTTTAACTTTTGTAAATGTAAATGGAGTACTTTCATAACTCCACCGCTGTACTTGACACAAGATGTCTCCACCTTCACTGAAGAGTCCATTCTCAGAATGGAAAATCCTGCTTAGGTACACGTCCTACACTGAGATTTAAAGCAAGCACGGATAAACTTTCCTCCTTCGGTAGACGAATGTGAAAACAAACCCTGCACATCATTCTGCACGGTGGAGCTCAAACATCTGAGTGAGGCAACAAAAAGCGAAACACATTTTTGAGTGAAGGGGGACTTGTTGTTGACTGACCCAAAGGAGGTGTCAATGCACCTTTCCATAGTTTAAAGTTGTTTTAGGTGACGGCATCAGCTAAAAGTGTGAATGTTCTGCTCTCCGGCTTCTTGAGATACAAGAACACAAGCACAGACAAAGTGAGAAAACGTTGTCAGGATCATGTGACCGCTCCCTCTCGTGATCTATAACACTGATAAGATAACAGCAGATACCTGAGAGATCATTATCAAGCTGCAGGAGTTTGAAATACAGCTAATAAAGACACTAACCAGCTGATTAATATCATGGATTTATATGGAATTTATTAAGAATCTTGCTTAAAATCTCATTGGAAATTTCCTCTTCAAACTATGAAAATCACAATATAATAAGACCCAGGTTGCCTGTGAGTGAGAGTGTGTGTGTGTTGGTTTCAGGTAACAACGTCAAAGTCTGGCTTTTCCAAGAAAGTGAAAACAAGCTTAACTTTTCTATGAAAGATGGCGGCTCCTTCCTGAGCGCGGCATTTTGCGATTGGTCAACTTCACAGCTCCCCTATATCCCATCCAAATGCAACCAGAACATCAAACGCTAATGCTATTTTAAAATGCTAAATGCTAATCTAGTTAAGGCACGGCTGTCCTCGTCTCACCCTGCAGGGAACTGAGCTGGACGTGAAAGTTGGACGAACGTGTAATGTTAGTGATGTTTTGTATACTCATGCACCGCACGCACAGGGGTCATATTTAAATCTTTTGTATTCACAATAGCACTGACACAAGTGACATTCATGTTTCCCATTTACCTCATAAGCTGCTGACGTGAACCCTCTGACACCAATAGGTGTGGTTCATCCCCCTCGAGTGCATTTCATTGTCGACAGCGCCGGTGTCATATATTAATTATCCCGTTTCGACACCTACACCTGCTATTAACAAGTCATCTCTGAGAATAGAATGTATCAAATATATTGTAAGTTCAATTGAAGGTCGTTTCCCAAGGCGTTAGCAGACATAGCTTATTCTGATTCTGGTGTTATGAAGCTTTTTCTGCTTTAAACAGAGTCAATCCAGTTTGTTTTTCCTGTAGGTTTGAAAATTATCAGTCGAGGTGAAGGACAACTTTGGCATTACAGTCACGCTAGCGGCTCTGTGAGGCTGTACTTAAGCACAGCAGGGCTTTGAGCTAAATGCTACGGTCAGCACACAAACTTCAACAATGACAATGCTAACATGCCGGTGTTTAGGACCTGTTTTGTTTACCGTGTTCACAGCTCTTAGTTTAACATGTTAGCATGCTAACATTAGCGAATTAGCACTGAAAACACAAAGTGCAACTGGGGCTGATGGGAGTGCCATTAGTTTTGCAGGTGTTTGGTCGTAATCCAAAGTGTTGGACAAATTGAACAATTTCAATTCATGGCGATTCATCCTCAGGAGAACAGGAATGTACCAAATTTAATGGCAGTTTATCTAATAGCCGTTAATACACTAGCTAAATAATAAAAAAAGAAAAATGTTAACATCATGTTGACGCTTGAGGAATCTCAGGGGATCACCAAGGTGAGTAGGATTCATCCTCTGAGGACCATGAATGTGAACATTTCATCCAATACTGTAATTGTTGATATATTTCAGTGGTTGACCACTCAACTCCCAAAAGCCATGTGGCTAGCTAAAAAAGTATGCTACATACTACACAATCTGCAGACATTTCACTGTATGACACAATCCAACCTCTGCATGCCGTCGATCAAGAGCTCTTCACATTGTGTAGCTCCTGAGCAGCAGCCCACTGGACATTACAATCCATTTCAATCTCCACTTTTGTTGATAGCAATGATTGGGCCAAAAATTTGCATTTATTATTACTCTCAAGAAGTGTTGGCCAATGAATACAATCTACAAAATCTCAGACAATTCGGAGACTTTGGTCTCTGTTTAGGAATTCAAAGACTTCAGTTCAAGGCTGACGCACCGTGGTTACAGAAGTGGTAAGGAATGCAGACGGACTGTTTTTCTTTTTTTTTTAATCAACAGCACAAGAGACAAATACCTTTTGGAACTCTGAGCAATCATGAGACAGGGGCTTGCCTTCAGGGCACAGCACAGACATAAAAGTATGTTCTCTGATCGCGCCTTCATCGCTTCAGCACATTTGTATTTGACTAAAGTAAAATGGAACAATGTGTTCCGAGTAGCCGCAATAAAAATGTATCACAAGCTAATTCTCTAAAGCTAGAAAAACAAAAAAAATGTAAGGTGGCAGTGGTGGCCTGAGGTTAGAGGAGCGAGCATGTGACCATGAGGTCATCAGTTCAATGGGAAAGTCTGGATAAATGGGGCGGGGAATGCTTGCCACCTCCCTCGTTACCACCACTGAGGTGCCCTTGGGCAAAGTGCTTAACCCTCAACCACTCAGGCTGTGTGGATATGATCAGGGCGTTCCTTGCAAAAGAGGGTCTTCAGTGAAACTTCCTTGAAGGAATAAAGGTTAAAAAAAATGTCTAGTCCAACAATTGTATGGCCCCTTTTAGATTGCTTTTATATAAGCTAAAACATGTGCCAGCAGGTGAAAAGTGATAAAATGTGACTCAGACCGTACCAACCTTCCACTAACTAAATGCTGGAAATGTAAACACACCGAGGTATCACACTATTGTTCAGGGTTGCCAGGGCCGCAGGGGACACATATCAAGTGCATACCAGGCCACTCTCAAGAACTCCAGCACTCCTGCTTGATGACTCAGCCACTCAGGCCGTTCAGGTGTTCTCCATGGAGACTGGAATGAAAGACACCCTTCACCGCGTCCTCTGACGCAAACCGAAAACCGCATCTTTTGTGACTTGACGGACGAATAATGGCTCTGTCAAACAAAATGAAATGAAGCCACAGTGCCCGTGGACATCGGTGTTGCTGATGAGTCATGCTTCACTGCGTCGATGGGACTTCATCGCGCAAAGATTAAAAAAAAACAAAAAAACTTTGGTGCTCAATGAACGTGACCTTTGGGAGAGGTGTGGCACAATGGGATGGAAAAGCTACACAAAGATATTGATTCCTGGCACACAAAAAAATTACCCACAATAAAAGTGGGTAATGTTTCTGAAAAATAATCTCTCAGTTGTGTTCATAAAGAATAGAGTTGACCCACCAAATGCAGTCAAGAGGTCAGACAGCGGCAGGTGGTAATTTTGCCTCGTTCTCGTGGCAAATATGTTGACTCAGTGCGCGTTACTGTCGGGTTTTGGTGAGCCGCTGCTGTTAAACTGGTTTAATGCCGTCACTCATGTCCCCGCTGTCGATGTTCTTATGTCATTTGCACATTTGGTGTCACCAATTCACCCATCAGCAATTTAGAGTCTCTGACACACCTGACTAACATGCCGGCACAGAGTTAAAGTGACAGTAGCGTCCAGGCATCAACACATGTGACCTACTTGTTGATGAGGTGCTGATATGAGTCTTAGAAAGGTGGTTGTGATCTAAGAAGGGCAGAACTTTAAATAGATTACACACTCCACCTCATGGGCAACAGTAGAACAGCACGAAGCATTTTAAGGCTGTTCTTACGCCGCGTGTTATATGTTAGTATTCAGTGTAACTATAATTTTTATATCTCGTACGTGTTTTTAGCTTTATTGTTTTTTGTATTCTAAAGCACTTTGTACCTTTGCTTTGAGAGGCACTGCATAAAACTTATACAATCTGTAATTCAAATTCATATTCACACTATAAAAGGTGAGAGGCAGAGCCTTGTACTCCAGTGAAGGGCAGTTCGGAGCCTACTTCAATTTGAAGCTTACGGTTCAGGACATTTTTGTCATGTATTTTGAAAAATGTAATCGATTGGTGGCTTTTTGGGGAGATAATTCTTGCTGTAAAAATGTTAAAGCTGGCATATGGTTAATGAAAGCACAAATATCAAGGTCAGAACGTCCATCTTCATTACAAAAGACTAAATGTATTCATTAGAATTAACTTAAATTGACCAACACATTCCGTAATGTAGGTTAAGCTTTCTTCATTTAGCTGAAAAAGTTCATGCTCACAATAAAGACTCATTTGAGTTTGACTGACCGTTCTGTTAAAGACTACAGTCTTAACTACAAGACTACAAATCCCAACCTGTATCGGCATCTCACCAAGAGCACTACCTCTTATTGGGAAGGACAACATTTACAGGGCAAGTTATTTTTCTGGAGCCATTTTAAGACCGTTTGCAGACTGAGAAATTGATCATAATTATATATTTGTGCAATCTTAATGTGTCAGACCAGAGCGTCACAGTTACTTACAGCTTTAATACCTGTACATGGGAAGCTTGTGATTTAGGACTGAACAATGACGTATAATCTCATGTAACCATTAGTTTTCTCCAACAGGTGATTCGGTGACATGGGGGAGAAGTCCAATGCCCATCAGGGGGCATCAATGAAATGAAACCAAGGCAGACTGGGTTCAGGGCACTGACCCAAGAGCTGTTGGAAGCGTTTGGAATGGAAATGAATAATAGTTTTTAAAAGAAGAGTCGGTCTCATACAATTATGTAAAAAACTATGTTTATTTCAAAAAAAAAAACATTCTCAATTCAACTCCACAATGATGAAATAAGTGCGAAAGTATATTCCTGTACATCTATTACAATATACATTTTGCTTTGGTTCCCGTTTATATTTCTCTCCATATGTTGGCTGGTAAAACACACTAGTCTAATTTGTAGATGTAAATGACCTCCACTATGCATGAGTGGCAGCGTAATGGCTTTGGTAACAATGTTAAATATTTATTCAAATATAATAGAAGATTACAGTTATAAAAGCGCAAAGACACATTAAAACAACTTTAGCAGATTGCATATGAGCTAACCTTCATGTAACACAAATATATTAAATGAAAACATGCTCAAAATAAAATACTTCAAATTTACAGCTACAGCCAAAACGGAAATTTTAAATTCCACAACGCTCTAAATTGAAAACCAGACGGATAAAAATGGAACTGTCGAATTTGTGAGAAACGCGTGGGAATGAAACGTTTGGCAGTAACAGAATAGAATGGATGACACAACTGATCCGTCACCTGTAGGCCCCTGGTGACTGATGGCGTTCTTGTCCAAGCCGTCTTCCACTGAGCAAAAAATAAACTATGGTCCGGTCCACGGTCTCGCCTCACAGGAGGAGCGGCTCTATTGAGCCGGCTCAGTCTTGTTCTTCTTGTTCAGGACTTTGCGGAGGCTCTCGGGCATCAGGTAGGGCCTCTCGGCACTGCCATCGTTCCTCTCAAGATCCTCCACTGGAACGAGATTCAACAGAAGGTTTAGCACCAAAGGTCATCAGAGCCTCAGAGACTAGTACTTGTAAAAAGGACAGAGTAAATTTGGCTTGTTTCCACTTTAAGTTTAATTTGCATTTAATAAACATAAATCTTTGATTAATAGTTCGGACAATCACCAACAGCATCAATCTATTCAAAGTGTTTAAATGACTGCCTCAGATACTGTTTATTGAACCAACTTTAATGCCAAGCACACACACTCCCTTGTAAAGACGCACTGAATGAAAAACACACTTCAAACATAGAAAAACCTGTTTGGTGTTAACAGAAATGAAAGTGCACTGATAGTGCAGAACTTAACACCGATTATCACGTTTGCATAAACTTTGAACAAACGGATACACTAAAGGTGCAAACAGACCTGCGTTAACACTGTAAATTAGGCACATGAACGGCTTCAAGTTTCTATTGGCCCGTGGCAGTGGGAGGGACTATCAAAAGACTTAGAAAAAAAACAAAACAAAAAAAACTAAATGTCAGTTTGTGACAGAAATGTCACAGTAAGCCATTCATACAATAGTTTACAACGTTTGCAACACGTTCAAAGTACCAGAAACGAACTGGAGACATTTCAAGCACCATGTCATTAAGTGAGGAAAGACCTGGCTGTCAAACCGTCTAAACTAAATCTTAACACCTCAGATCAGAGACCATTTCATCATCTAAACCAGGCAACAAATGACCCACATTTTAATGCGCTCATTCCCTAGACACATGCTTGATGTTCAATTGACCATTCGCTAAGCCCCACACACACACACACACACACACACACACACTACACATCACAGTGATAATTGTGAGATCAATCACTCGAAATTCTTAGTCATTTTTGAGAAAGAGGAGCCTCTGTGTCAGACAGAGGTAGACAAAATCAAGCTTCTCATTTCTAGACACTTTGATTATTTGTCAGTTGTTGCCAAAGAGCTAATTAAGCTAACGTGAGCTCCATGAGATGGTTGAAAACGTCGTCTCAAACCAGAGGGACTCATGCCGAGACTGAGGCTAGGGTAAGGAAAAGGTTGGCTTGAGGGGTGTGTTCAATGACAGTAGATTAGAAGCTGTCATTAGTTGGAGACCCTGTGTAATTATACAATACTGTTTTTATTGCATGCGTAATAATATATTCCTGTTACCCTGAGTGACGTTAGTCAACATCTATTTTAGGAGCAAAATTTACTTTAAAAGGAAAGTTTTCATTGTGTTTTTGTTTGTTTCCATATTGCATTGCAATAGCCCATTTAAAGCGATCATATGCCAAACAACTAATCAATGTAGATATTGTATGCTAATAGATAAAAGGACGATACAGTACATGCTTTGGTTTTCTGACATGCATCTATGCCGTGTTCTGAGCCGTCCGGATTGCAGCCGATGAAATAATGCTCATTACAGCCACGAGACTCAAGAGTTGACTTGGACTTGCAAAAAAATGCCTTGTGAGCATCTCGGACGTACGCATTACAGAAGTTAGACGTATGCGTTATTGCTAGCATTGATACAAGCTTGCATTTTTAATAGTTTACTTGTAACGATCGGATGAGGACTAACCGATTGTTGTGTTTTGTGAACATAATGGTCTCTTGAATGATGATTTTGGCTGTTTTTTGGAATAAGGAAAGAGTCGCCAAGTTATCTTACACGCTGATGTAGCATCCAAGAAATACTGCAATAAATGTGCTGTTGTGAACTCAACCTGTAACCCCGCAAGATAATGTAGCATGAAATGTTATTTTGCGTTGGAACCATCAATGGGTAAGTACTACAGGTTGGAAGCTAGTTAGCCCAAAATGCTAACGATAAACGGAGCTTAAGCCCTACCATAAACCTTTGCTTTAATGTAATTATAACCTTCACACACATTTTATATATTGTGTTCGGTTTAGTTTGTTGATCTATTTTACAGCATGATTAAGGGAAAAACTACCGGCCCCGATTTTCATGCCACTTGGTGGAAGGGTGTAGCCAAGGAAGTCAAATTTCGGCACGGATCCGAATCACGGGGCAGATACATGCAACGGCCTTGGCAGAGTTCGTCATTCTCCGAGCACCCTTCAAGCTAATTTCTTAAATCTAATACTAAAGACACTACTTTCCAAACTCCTAAAGCCTCTTGCACACCGTTCACATCTACTGTCAAGGTTGCTAAGCTATGATTGGACAATCACTGGTCGGGGGAGGGTTTTAGCAAATGGTCAATTAAGAAAACAAATCCTTCGCATCTTGTTTTCTATGTTTCCTTGTGCGGAAACGAGAAGGTAAAAGGAAATATGTATAACTCTGCTGTGAACAAAAGAACTCTGTGATGAGTGGGTTAAGTGCAAAGGAGGGTAATTCACAAAGTTCCAGCTCCTTACTATCATCCTTTAAGATCTTTAACTAGAACCATTCAAAAAATGTGCTGCTGGGGTTTTGCTTTGCCCGTAAATCTGTGTCCTTCCCCACAAAACTCCTCGTCTAAGCCGCGTCTTCCTCCTCCTGATCCTGCTTCGGCCGGACGTCTCCGTCATCTTGTTGCCGAAGACGGATCCTCAGCCACGTTCTTCCACAGAATCTCACGAAGGGTTGAGGACATGTAATAAGGCCTTGCGGCTGAACCGTCATTGCGCTCCAGATCTTCACCTTATTGTGTGTGTGCGCGCGTTTGTGTACGTGTTAATGGATGGAACAGAAAATTAGTATTGAATTCAAGGTTTAAAAAAACAAAAAGAAAAAAGAAGATGTTAAAGGGCCAGTAGGAAGGAGAAAAGGGAGGGGGTGAATTGTGGGAAGTGAGAAAAAAAAAAAAAAAAAAAAGAGGAGACAAGAAAGAGAAAGAGAGTCAAACAGCAAGCAAGCAAAAGGCACCCACAGGCATTTAAAAAGTTAACAGTTCAACACCAAGCAGCCACAGTTTCCAGAATAAGAAACTGGTTATTTTGAAGTGTGGCACACCGTACTCATACAATTTAGAATTAGTGACAGCCCGACACCAAAAGCAATGAGAGACTTGAAGAAGTGAGGAAAGTTTTTAGCTGGTAACGAATGAGCTTTTTTTTTTTCTTCTCAATACAACAGATCTGCAATGCCGAATTATTTTACTCGGCGTCCACATGACCCCGCAAAATCTAGAAGTAAGACGGGGACGACTGCAATGTTACTTACAGAAACAGAGGAAGAGGGTGTCCACACACATGGCGTACACGCTGAAGAATCCATGGGCAATGAGGTAGGAGCCAACCACCACAGTCTGAGGGGGACGAGAAGAGCCGTAAATCACACATGGATCAGGATCAGAAAGAAAGCAGGGGAACAGAAGTATACACCATTTCTGTTGTGTGACTGTATAACACTACTGTTCCTGGGAAGAAACGGAGCGGCACACTCACCAGGATGGGCACCCAGTAGTAGTGGAGATGGGGGGTTGTATCCTCAAAGGCCTTCACTCTCCCAGAGAAGAAGAAGAAGGCAAAGATCCCTGTGGAAGAGAGGACCAAAAAAAACTCAAAGTCAAATCCCCATTGACATTGACTGTATTTCCTCGATTTTCCAGCCGCAGCCTGTACACACTACAAACTCCAAGCAAGCTTTAAGGCGCTCCATGTTTCACACTGATTGGTTGTGAATAAGCAAATTATGTCGATATAATTTACATCGTACATGAAAGTCTATGGAAATCCATTCAGCCTCATTGTGTTAGTATTCCATTGAAATACGAAAACCGCTCAGTATTTCCCAATTATCGAATCTAAATTAGCTCATTATGACAAATTGTACAATTTATGAGGTATATTTTGCATTGACGTCTGCGGAAGCCCATTCAGTCCAGCTGTGCTTGTAATGCAGCAGACTGTGAAGGAGCTCATTATGATGACCTATGCAGTTAAAACTGTCATGCTTTAAGCTTCAATGGGATTTGCAATTTGTTGTATTTAAGGAGTATACTGAAAGAAGCAGTAAGGTAGAACCGAGTACACTTTAATTACACGATTTATTTATCGCAAGTAATATCATTATCGCAATATTCAACATGACCTCATATTTTCCATATTGATGCAGCCCTATTCTCTATCTAGAATACTGCATTTGTCCAATGAAATATTCAAGCATGAAGAAATAAAAACAGACTCACCCACGAGCCCAACGATGAGCAGTTTGCCCAAAAACAAGAGGAAGTCTGTCACTTTGTCTAAGACGGCCACCCTGGAGGGATTAAAGAGGATCACTTATTCTTTGTAAAAGGGAGACTTCCAATCTTATGAAATCAAACGCTGAAAAAAAATGATGCAAATCCCAGACCCCGGTGTCCACTCACCTGATCATGTTCCTCATGAGGAGGAGGAAGGCATCTCTGGCAGCGGTGCAAAAGTTTTTGCCGTAGATCGCCACCTGGAGGCCGAACGCACTCATTACATTCAGATGATTCAACATGACGGAGTACGATGTGTTTCTATTTTAATGATGGGATGAGTACAGCGACTTAAAAACCACCCACCATGATGTAGGCATTCCTGTTTAGGAACTTCATACATTTCTCCAGACACCAGAAGCAGCACTTCAGACAGCACAACAGGAACTTGGTAAACTTATTGTGGGCTCCTGGGAATGAGACGGTGATTGACAGGTAAGTGAAAGTCTGATCAACACTGGATTCAAAATATGGCTTGTAGCCTCGAGCAGCAATAGACCTTTCAGCTTGTGGTCCAGATACTCTAGCAAAACCCTGATGATCTGGATGATTGAGAGGATGAGGGATCCGAACGCCAGAGTTCCCGTGTGATACCTGAAACAAGATAGGGAAAATTGCACGCGTTATACTTCAAATGTTAGGCGTGAGATGATGCCGAAACATCCTCCACACACACCTGAGAGATCTCCCCAGGGCAGAAAAGACCGGGAAGGCGGGCATATCGTCCGGCTTGTTGACGGCCCAGTAGTACGAGGCGAAGGCCCCGGCCAGCGTCATCTGTCCCAGAGCCATGACGAAGTTGGCGCACCAGAAGAAGAGGAAGACGTTGTAGAACTGCAGGCCGATCAGGTACTTGTGGTAGGCGGTCTCTCCGCCATAGAAGGCGAAAAGGCACTCCGAGTCGGGGCAGTGCGCTTTTTCCTCACTGGTTGAGTAGTTCTGAGAACGGATGCAGGTTATATCAGAGACCTCATACGCACAGTGGGAATCCACGAGATTTCTATTTAACATGACCGTTCACTCAATATGAGAATTCAGGGGAAGAATCAGGGTTCAAAAGGTCAATACGAGGATAACTTATTAACAGTTATGTTGTCTTAAAACTGCAGTAAGATCAAAAACATGCTGCCTGCAGGATCCAACATAAATCTGAAATGAAATGAAATAAGACAACTTACCGCTGGGTCACAGGTTTTTCTAGAGTGGTCGCATACCGTCTCATTGAACACTTTGTAGATGGGTTCATTGGAGGTAGACAAGAAGCTGATCGGTTCCATTAAGGACAAACGATCATAACAGATCTCATTCAACATCCAACTGCTGCATATGACATCACATTCATTTTGGCACACTGTTGGTTACATTAATGACCACCTGAGCTGAATTACTTATCCACATGTGCAAGCTTATTTCTGCTTCTGGACTTCACTCAGACTTTATGTAAGAAGTGGACGTAGTCAGCGTGACGTCACACAGTTTGTGGACTACGGTTTTGAAGCCTCGAGTTCGGTATTTTGGCCGTCGCCATCTTGTTTGTTTTGCAGAAGTGCCACGAGAGGGTGGAGCACAATCAAATGCTGAATGCAACAATTTTTCGGCAACCAAACACAATTTACTTTGATGAACTGGAAACGCACTGTGAAAGGGTTAAAGTCGTAACACAACAGCCCGGACAACTCCCTAGCGACCTGTCAATCACAGGGTAGCCCCGCCCTAAAGCATACTCTGCTTTATGGTCTATTTGACACTAAATGGACCATAATTTACTAATTGAACATCATGCTGTATTGAAGAAGACTTGAAACTAGAGATTGAGACCATAAACTCATGTTCACAATATTTATTGAGGTAATAAATCAAGAGAGAAGTAGAGTCATTTTCTCATAGACTTCTATACAATCAGAGGAGTCGCCCCCTGATGGCCATTAGAGAGAATGCAAGTTAAGGCACTTCTGCATTAGCTTGACTTCCAAACTTAACCGCCGTATTCCCAAGAAGTGCTTAAAACTGTCCAAATCAAAATCCACAATATATTAAGTTCTCAAGGTGTTTCAGTTCAAAATGAACTGGATGGTTACTTTGTACATTGTTTTAACCACACATATAGATCTACTATACTGCTGTATGTCAATTTACTGATTTATCATCTTTATTGTTGCTGATGTGCCTCTGATTCACACATCAGTCTCATATATCAAAGTTCAAGCTGTTACTTATCGTTCATGATGAATTTGAAACAACCTGTGGCAAATAGGCCACGGAGTTATTTTCTTTGAAAGCAACCGTTCCTGTAGGAGCTGCTGGTTTAATGGGCAGCTCCACCAGTCTTAATGCTCTCCACCTGTTGCTCCTGCGTTTCGGACCACGCTCGACCATAAACAACGACACCGGCTGACAGCGAGTTGAAAGGATACACAGCAGTAACGGCCCAGAAGGCGATGACCATGGCTAGGAGGAAGAACGTGAAGAGAGGGTAGAAAAGGGAACTCATCACGTGACCGACAGCTCTGTGAACACAACATCACAACCAATTACAATTAGTTGTAATTTGATTACCTCATCTGTGCCATTAGTCAGACACTTTAATCCACCACTATGATCATCATCGATCTGTCTTTCCACTCCTCCCATCCTGTGAAGTCTGACCTGCTGGCTTCTTTGATGAGAGCGATGGCGATGAGGATCCTCTTCCTGAGGAAGATGAGCAGCAGGATGATGATGACGTCCACAATGGCCAGGATGATCACTAAAAAAGGAGAGAAGGGTCGCAGAGAGAGACGTCATGAGGGTGTTTCACGGCAACGTGTCAGAATCTTGACTCGAGTACGAGCGGTGTACTGACTGAAGGCCAGCCAGGTCTGTCTGATCTGCAGGTAGACTGCGAAGTCCGTCTGGAAGCCCAGTTCCTGTAGAGTCACATTGGCGCCCGCCTCTCCCTTCAGGGCGGCGTACTCCATGTAGCAGTGGAAGATACCTGGACAGCAAGGACACACACACACACACACACACACACACACACACACACACACACACACACACACACACACACACACACACACAGACACAGAGTGCAGGCCTACAGTTAGGAGAAACATACAGGAGTAACAGCATGGGAGCAAAGCAATGTGCTGCTGTGGATGAGGCATCAGTCAAATGAATTTTAGACACCTTAAAAAAAAGCAATATCAGTTTTGAGGTATTCTTTATTTACAGTATCTTCACCACTTTACTTTGCCATCAGACGTCCGTTTGAAGTCGCTCTCAAGACTCCTTTGATAAAAACAGTAGTTTCACCTCGCAGAACACTGGAGTTGCTGGTCTACTGTTGCCTCGAACTGTTAGTGTGTATGTGTTGTTGTGTGACTTCGGTGATTTAAAGGGTTAGTTCGGATTCACCAAAGTCACAAACTGATCGAGGCAGCAGTGGACCAGCAACTCCCGTGTTCTGTGAGGTAAAACTAATGTTTTTGTCAAAGGAGTCCGGTGGCTTAAACTGGTTTTGATCTTTTTAGGCGTCTAAAATAGGTTCGGCTGCTGCGCCCGTCAGCAGCAGCACATTGCTTTGCTTCTGTGCTGGTACTCCAAAATCAGTTCCAGTAGCCATCTACTGGAAGTAATACACGGACTATGGAGTAGTACCTCCTACCAGCCCACTTCAAAACATCCAAATATCCAAACAGAGTGATAGAGACAGAGAACAGCAGTGTTTTGATAGCAAGGAAGAAGATGTTGATTTTCTTCTCTCACAGACTGCATCACTGATGGATTTAAAAAAACTTAAAAGCACATCGACTGTTTTCTCCATTTACGCTGCAATTTTCTTTAGCAAAAATGGAATTAACATATTCCACATGGGCATGTGTAAATATCTCAAGCTCCACCAGATTAGAATGGAGGCCCTGCTCTTTATTCACCCACTGCCATGGTGAAGCTGAGCATCGATGATGGCTTTGTTTTTTCCATCCACCAGAAACACGTGTTTAACTTCAAGATGAGTCCCAATATTATACCACACACTAACTCTAAGCAGGTTCGGAGTGTGTAGTTGGTTCACACTGGAAAAGTGAAGAGAAAAAGCAAACTAAAACTGTCGGCATAGATCCTATAAAACACATTTTTCGGTGTGCTGTTGATGGACACTATTCTCCCACAATGCAATGCACAAAGAAAACAAAAAACAATTGTGTCGCTGGTGGTACAACCTGCCTTCTAAAACATGTGCTTTGGCCCTTACCATATCCTATGACCAGTATCACCAAGACAATCATGACCCAGACCATGATCCCCGCCAGGAAGCGCAGCAGCACGATGAAGAGCAGGCTGATGAGCATCGCGAGGACCAACCCTCTACAGAGAGTTTCAAGGTGTGAGGAGGGAAGGTGAGCACAATGTTGCACACACGCACACATCGGATCAAAAGGAGACGCAGCTGTACACAACGTAGGCGGGTGACTTACATCAGGATCCAGTACCAGGACTGTGTGTAATCCTCGAAGATTTTCATGACCACCTGGCGAGCCTCGATAACCACGGTGGCGTTCCTGCAGAGAGATTCCAGAGTGTTTAATCCGTTTTCAGCGCTACGGAGTTCCTCGTCGGGTGCGGTTTGTAAAATAAATAAAATATAACTAACGTGTCGGGCCGGGGACACGTACACACAGCTGTTTACAAGAGCGATGCACTCACTTGACTCCATCCAGAAGATCCTTGGCGTCTCTCATGTTTCCGCTCCCGTCATCGAAGTGAGAGTTGTTTCCCACGGTTACCACGCCTTCTTTCTGGCCCAAAGCTGGGAAACACCGGCGGGTGACTGAAGGAAAGCAGAAATGAGAGATGAGGCTGGTTGATTGATGTGTACATGGCAGCAATCTGGATGTATACAACATGTATATAATTATGATCCAACTCACATGGTCTGCTGGGGGTCAGCATGGCGGGACAGAGACCTAAACTGAGGATTTGTGGTATACCCTGAAACACAGCAAACAGACACGAAGGTGTGCGGAAACCTTTGGACAATCTAAATAGTGGAGGCAGCACAGGGTGTCCTCCAAGGGGGCTTCAACTCAACAACATGGCTTTGAACTCACCATTGCGTTGGTCACACCGTCCTTGCAGAATCTCTTGTAGTCCTCAAAGTCTTTTTTGTTGGTGTAGGCTTTCACCAACGTCATGAACTTTTCGGGGCACTTCTCCACGCACATCTAAAAAAGGAGGGAGCGCACAGTTACATCGAGAGCGGTTAAGGCATTCACTGGTGCGGAATGCAGCACAGCAGGTTCCATGGTTTAAAAACAACCGCAGTAGCTGTGCCTGGTATCCATTCTACACACTGATAAGGTTTCCCCAAGGACCAGAGAAGAATACGTGAGTTCACACCTGCGTGGTGGGACACTGGAACTCCAGCAGCACCATGGGGCTGGCACACTTCATGATGTTGAAGTAGAACAGCAGTGGCTTGTTGCTGTTAAGACACACACACACACACACGTGCAAAATGGTCAGAGGAAGAAAACGCTGACGGGAGGCGTTAACGCCATGTCTGTGCATTTCTATGACCAACAGTGCACCTATGCTTTATTTCTGTTTCTGGCTACACACAAACCAACATTATGATTGTTTCCTTATGAGGCTGGTGCATCCATAGATATACAGGTACAATGGTTTCATATGTGGTAAAGGGCGTGTAGGAAAAGTAACGCAGCGGCACATTTAATGGAAATGGATCATCCCGTCTCTTTAATGGCATTTATGCGGAAGTTTGAGATCTTTTCAATGGGACTTTTGGGGTCCGATGTGACAGATCGGTGCTCAGCTGTTTCCGCATGCGTGTGTCCACATTTGACACTTCGATGCGACCCGCCTGGTCGGATAGTGATCGGAGATTCTTTGTGGTCAAAGGAGCCGCAGTAAAACGGTGATAAACACATAATTTCCAAAAAACTTCACGCAGTAAAAGCAAAATAAAACCTTTGCTGCTTACTCTTCCTCCCTGCAGTATCAGCTGACTTGTTTTATTAAAGAATAGCCGCCAACGAAGCGCCGCTTATTCTGTGATGAACACCTTCTCCTGACATTTTTTTACCCCGGTTACGTTGGTATTTAAAAGGATTTTATTTTGAAACGATACAAATCAGGAAATGTTGTGTTTTCATCAGCAGTAACTTAACAGGTCTCAGACAGCTGGTCTCATCTGGGGCTCCAGTCCCGGCCTTCCTCCTCTCTTCCATTTGCAGGGAGAAGACGAGTGTAACCACGGCCGCAGAGAGGGGAGGAGCTTGAGAAGGTGCCGCTTATGACGGAGGGATTCTGGATTAATAAAGTGGGCACTTTAAACCCCAAAGAGTTAAACTCGAGTATGCCGTGTTTTAAAAAATAAATTAGAAAAAAAAAAAAAGATTATGAGAGAATACAGTTTGTTGCCTGTAAAGCCATTTTGATGGGTTAAAGTGTCAAAGATTGTTAAATAATATGTTTACTGTTTATTAATTTATCTTTTTCTTGCAATGTTTGCATCAACTAACTGTATTATGTAAAGAGTATTTTTGAGGTAGACAATAACATTTGTATATTTCACCTTCCCACACGTTCACACATTCGCTGCACTGAAGCTCACACCATTCGGCGAATTAATTATAATCATTGCGTGGAAAGCAACTCACGCCAGTGGGGTGCCAGCCTGCCCGCAGAACTGGCCTCGACTGTCCGTGGGATAGATCACCTTCCTGGGGTCGCCCTGGGACCAGGCTGGGAGCACAGAAACAGAAGGTAAAGGTTAAAAAAAACAAATTGCATTATAATTTGCATTATAAAAGTTTTAGATTGTGTTTTTAGAAGTGTTTTCTCTTACCCAGTATTCCCACTGCGATATAAGCCAGTATGGCAATAATGAAGAGGATGCAGCACGCGATGTCTGTGCAGCCCCTAGAGGGGACAGAGCAAAGGGTGAGGGGGGTCGAAAAAAGAAAAACTCTTGGTGATAACCAGAAGCCACGCCCCTCTCTCACCGGTTCTGGATCGGGCCCTTGAAGGTCGGGTCATACTTCCTCGGCTCGCCTGCACAGAAGGAAAAAGAAGAAGTGCATTTGTCACTCTATGCAAATTCTGACTATTAATCCCTACAACCGTACATGCAACACGATATGTTAAAAATAGAGATGCACCTTGCACCCGGGTTATTTTTAAAAGAGCAGTGAATTTAAGGTTAAGAGACAGTATGCCACACTCCCCCCCTCTCTCCCTCCCATTCTTCTGTCAGATGACTTTTCACTCCAGGCAAGACACGCCTGGCAACACAACAAATTCCTCCCTGGTGACTAAGCAGAGTTAAACCCATGTGCTAGACGGAGCTCACACGGGAGACTTTTGACAGTCTCATATGCATTCATTTCAGTTGAAACTTTGATGCAATATACTTTACTTTATACTTTACATGTCAACTGATGCTCTGTGGGTTCTGATAACTAGTCAGGCATTCAGGTATGTTTGCTGCAGGTTACCCGAGGTCAGCGTGTCAGAAGCAGCAGAATAGAAGCTTCTATTATCCGAGCAAATTCATCTTTTGGCTCCGAGCTAAATTCATCGGGGAGCGTTAGCTTCACTTAGCAGGTCATTGCTCTCCAGGGGCAGACATAAGAAATCAATGAGACACATTAGTGATGGAGAGCAAAGAAAAAAAAAAAAAAAAAAGTCACAGATGGGCAGGCGGCACAGCCACCGCTCCAACACAAAAATAAATATTGGTTTTATATCCAAATTAATCAATATTTTGGCTGCTTTTTTAGTGCTTCAAGCACCACCACCACCACCAAACCCACCCTACCATCGTCTGCATGTATGTACACGTGTGTAACATCGGATCCAGACACGTTAAAGCCAAAACATGGAGTATGATATGGTCCGTGGCGTCTCTGCATATTAATTATGTGATCTGGAGGATAATGCTGCAGCTAGCATTTACCAGGCGAGCTCTTATAGAGAAGTCACAGCTTCCTGTTTAGAAGGAGCATGGGTGCTGCCTTTCATAAACAGGGTGCTAGATTAATCAAAAGGTCAGACTCAACAAAGGAAAGGTAGGCCTTGTTCACATTGATATGTAGCTGTAGGAACCAGTGAAAGGCTTAATGAACCATGGATTTGTTACAAGTGAAGCCTGCTCCCTGTAATGATTATCCAAACACAAACTCATGGCGCAGTAATATTTGTGCAAAGAGCAAAAACATTGATAAAATACCTCCCAGATCTCACACTCTCTCTCACACACACACACACACACACACACACACACACACACACACACACACACACACACAGTGTTAGCAGGCTGTCCACACAAACACACCCATTCCTTCCCCACAGTGTTGACATGCTGATACTGACGCTCCGGTTTCTCTCAACACAATTTAGACAGTTGATGAGACGGATTCCTTGTTAGGGCTAAAGATGAACCAATAATCCCTTGTTCATTTGACTTCTCTTAGATGAATGCAGAATGAAACAAAAAAAAAGAGCTGAGAATCAACAGAAAACTAAAGCAAAGCGAGCAGTTACCATTCTTTCCGTAGAACTCTCCTTCCTCGGGCATGTTGATTCCTTCTCTCTGGGTCAAATGTGGAAATGTACAGAGAGCTCTCTTAACTCTGTTCTACAGACACTTTATCTGGTTCACTTCTTCTTCGCTCTCTCTGCCGGTACAAATGAGCCAGAGCGCGAGGGAAAACACGGGTAGTGAGGAGGTAGAAACCAGTCCAACCTGTCCCAGTGAATAGCAGTAAGCTCAGGGCAGCAGCCAGCAGACTTCCCCCCCCCCCGTGTGTTAATGCTGAATCAACTGCCTCTTTCCAATCTGGGCCCCACCTGTGCATCTCCCTTTATCTCCTCCCACTTCCAAAGAAAGACCCGTCTTTCTGTCTGCTTTTTACACTTTGTTTGTCCCCCCCAAAACAAAACGGCAACTAAAACAGGCAAATTTACTATTCGACAGGAAGTGCGAGGGAGAGACAGGAGGCGTGGGTGTGAATGTGAGGGTGGAGACTAAAGTCAAAGTACTTAGATGTTATCAGAAACATGTGTTCAGAGACAACAAGGAGGAACACCGCCTGCACCGCTGCCTCCAGTGGTGTTTTGTGTAGCTGCAGAGGAAGAGGGGGCATGATTACATTCTGGATATTTAATTCATTTTGTTGTATATTTTTTACAGATATACTGATAATATTAGGTTAAAAAGAGCCATAGTTTTGATGTTGAATAATTGCCATTAAATTGCCATGTGGAGCAGCTGAAATAGGATCAATTCAAATCTCTTCCCCTCAAAGTGGTTTCTCCCATCTTGTGGGGACATGGCAGTATTGCACTGGGGCCAAATGCTTTCATGCACTAGAAACTTTGGACCCCTCTCTGTTCTGTACACAACCAGAGTATGTTAGATGAATTCATAATTCCAACAAAGAGTCCACAGAAGGACTAAATGCCACAGATGTTTTTAACAGATGCTGACAGACTTTCATTCCAGCTGGAATGGCTGAAAGTTTCCAAACACTCTGTTTTTGGTTCAGGGCCAATGTTGCTGCGAATGGGAATTCCCTGTTGTGATTTCCATAACTCAAAAAGTCGGAGTTGGAGTCGGGTGCATTGAGAGCCGGGCGAGAGCAGGCCGAGGCAAGGACCTCGAGGTGCCAACCCCTGGCATCGCAGATTGGCTCTAGGGACGTGGAATGTCACCTCTCTGGCGGGGAAGGAATAGGAGCTGGTGCGGGAGGTAGAGAGGTACAAACTAGATATAGTTGGGCTCACCTCCACGGATAGTACTGGTTCTGGAACCAAAACCCCTGGAGAGGGGCTGGCCCTTTCCGGAGTTGCCCTGGGTTGAGAGGCGGGTGTGGGGATACTCACAAGCCCCCAGCTGAGCGATGCTGTGTTGGAGTTTTCCTCATCAAACACATCCTCGGCAGAGGAGGCAGACTTTGACGACTTGGGGGAAGACCTCCCTGGCAGAAGTCGCTGAGGTTGTAAAAAAAAGCTCCTGAGCAGCAAAGGCGCCAGGGTGGATGAGATTCGCCCTGAGATGCGGAATGCTCTGGATATTTTTGGTCTGTCTCGGGTGACACGCCTCTTCTGTGCTGTGTGGTCGGGGACAGTGCCTGTGGAGTGGGAGACCCTCACCTATAGTCATGAGCTTTGGGTAGTGACCGAAAGAGTCACCGTGTGGGTGTAGGAACCCCGCTGCATTCCATCTTTGCAATAACACCTGATGCTTACTAATCAGACTGCTGCCCTAAAACTCAATGGGAGTAGTTTCCTGTAAGAACTTTGGTTAAGAAAATAGTTCCTATAAAAACAAGGTCTGTGGAGTATCTCGAAAGAGAGACTGCTGTTGAGTTTTTTAAGTGTATTCTTTGGAGTGTCATATAGTCATATTGTACTGGAGAGAAGGCAGACATCTCTACGACAGATATCTCCAAAATCAGGCAACCCATACCAAAACAATCTCGACTGATGAATAGCACCACAGGTGAGAGAAAAAATATGTACTTTTGATTTTCAGGTGAACTGACTTTTAATCGACAAGAAATCCGGCGGGCCTTTTTCATGGAAGACATTTTGACGTGTCACAGTAGGAAAAGCACAGGTGTCAATAATAAAATCACCGAAGCCTGAGTTTCAATATGTTATTAGTAACACCTGTGCTTTTCCTACTATGACATGTCCAAATATCTGCGGTGAAAAAGGCATATTGTCCACTGTAAGCTACACAGCACTGATGTTCAGTATCTATAGTCTTGTGGTTCCTACTTTTTAATCATGCTCCCCTTTTTGGGAATTCCATCCTATCTCATAGATGCATAAACTTAATTATATATATATTTTTATCAATCAGCAACAATACTGAGTATGCTAGTAACAAGCTGCACTTTATTGATATATTATTAGCAATACCTGTTTTATTTAGCAGCAGACATTGTGACTTGTGAAAGCAGGAAAAGCACAGGTGAAGCTTATTACGTTAACGATGACTCCATCCTGGCAATCACTAATTTGTTCCACCTGTGTTTGACAGGTATACATGTTGTGCAATAGTACAACCATACTTTAATTATTTTTTAGGTTCTGGGAACTAAAAGAAGCAGAAGAAATGGTCAAATAAAATAGCGGAAGTAAAAAAGAAAGTAATACAATCTAGATATTAAAGGGCTATATTTAAAAGGATTGTGATTTCATAGCCAGACGGCACAGACGGAAGACTTTAATAACATCTCAAGGTTACTGCTGCTGCTGCCATCCCACATCTCTTACATTACAGTAGGAGGGTGTGGAGCGTGTTAAAAAGGAAGCAACGCCACAATCACATACAATCACAGACATCCTTGGTACACCCACAGTAAAATGTTGTATCCTTTGGCACATCTTGTCTCGTTATATATTGGAGTCCATGTTTCTCGAAAAAGTCCTGACAGCATGGATCTGCCATCCAAACCTCTAAGATGTGTCGCCTGTTCCCATTTCTACCGAACTGAAAACGTCACCCCCTCATCTCTGCTGTTACACCAAGTGTCGTTATTTCTTTAACTCAGACACGGATGACAGAACGTGAAACCAAGATCCAATTTATACATTTAGGCTGTACGTGAATCACAGAATGAGCAAAAAACAAGTGGCCAACAGGAAGCCATATTCTCTAAACAACACATACTATCTGAGACTTCATTCCTCGGATATAATTAATGCACCGTCCTGACCGCAGTAGAAGACACTTCAAGGAACATTTGAGGGATATAATAGCTGGTAAAATTCCCCAAAAAATGTGTTGCTTTCGTATTAACAAAGATAAATATTTCTCAGGGCCAGCAAGGTCAGCCAAGAGCAACAAACAGAGCTACAGACTGGTAAAGAAACTCACTAACGAGCGGGGGCAGCTCACTGGGGTGGTCTCGCTCTCAAATCCAAATGACTCTGCATTTGTATCGCCTCCTCTCCGCAAACTCATCCTCCCAGACCTCAATAACCAGTCTCACACTGCCCTGGTCATGCCTTTTTTATCTCAGGCAGAGTCTCATGATCCTGTTCGGGTTGTTAGGGTTTGACGAGGATGAAGCGCGTTTAAGTGGAAGCGTGTCGGCTGCAATGACAGAGATGTTTTTGGCCGTTTGTTAGTCGCGGGGAGGAAAAGCTGTAGCATGCAGGAGCTGAAAGGAAAACTGAATTAGGACTAAATCTGCACATGTAGCTCACGTAAACTCAAACAGACCGCAAGGACCTGAAAGAGAGACCGGAGGAGCTCAGCATCGGGTTTCAAAACCACTCTCCTAAATATGGCTTATAATTACTAATCTGCACCATGGGCATGCTGCCTGGCTGCCTCGAATCCTGTCATTGAGGTTCCTTGTTATATCTCAGCCTGAAATTACTCCAACATGTGAAACTATAGATGTTCCTGCAGAATGTTCTGGAGTTTTAGATTACTGTCCTTGTGACCTTTTTTTAGCTGCTTTCCCTCTATAGCCTCGAGACGCACTGATACATATTAATGTTTGCACCGAAGGTTTACTTGAGGCCGTTCTCTCAAGGCTCAGCCGTCTCTTAAGTGAATTTGCGGCCTGAGTCACAACCGTCATCTCCTTTAAGGTCCAACAAACACAATCATGTTGTGTCTCCTCCATCTGCATCCTTGACTAAGTATTCAGTGTGGCGCTGCCTCCTGGGGAGGGGTTGGTAATGTGAGTCATGGTGTGGCGGGCAGACGGGTGGAGAAGGGTGTGTGCAGAGAAGAGGAGGGAAAAAAAACACGTTAAAGCCACATCATGAAAGAAGCCAGCGGACAGAAGAAGTGCCTCGTGTTGTTTTCATGCCTACTCGTTAGAACATCCTGCAAAGAGCTCGACATGCTCAACACGTCGCTGCAGAACAACATCAATTGCAAAATCTTTGTTTTTGAAGTATCTAAATACAAAAAGAAACAATGTAATTTGCCCGAAAACTAATTGTTTTACGCTTTATGAAATCCCTTGTAAGAAGCAAAGAGCTGCACATCTCACGTTGCATATTCTCAATATGCAATAATGCATCTTCACTATCATAAGACATATTTGTGGTAAGCAGGACATAATTAAAAAGCAGTGGCAATACAAACATAAAGCATACTGTTTTGAACAATACAGATGTAAATATATGGATATTATGCATTCTCGTCTGAGCTGAATATTTCTAAGGTGACACTAACAGACGTCCACCACATGCCTCACGCGTTTGAGGCATTTTGTTAATAAGCTCTATCGATAGCTGGGCGTCAGCTATAAGCTCCTGTTGCCTGCTGCCATACCAGTCTGAGGAATGTGGCAGCAACTGGACAAGCAGCGGATAAACCGGGACATTGTACACACACAATGCACGAGGCACTCTGTACATACAGACCTGGCTTTTTAAAACAAATAAACTGTATATACGTGCACTGAATATGTTAATAACAAGGGAACTCACAATTTTAAGCAGCGTACAAGTTAATATTTAGGTTTGAGTAAGTTAAAAAAGAAGGGAAAGTGGTCCGCTGGTCGCAAACTAAACACAAAAGCACGTCTTAGTGTAAATACTGAAAGTATTTGCAGTTACCACAAATAGTACCGTTATCGTCTTGCGCCAAAAATAAAGTATCTAAGGTTGTTTACAGTTGTAACGTTAGTTCGCAGCTATCCCGGGACGAGGCAGAGCGTGCCTCTGCTGGACTTTAAATAATTACCATATTTCGGTTTCTCCTCCAGTTCCATGATAACAGGGTGTTTCTTCCGGGCCAAATGTGTTGTTTTATGTTTTTATTTTCGGGGGAGACTAACTACAGCATACTTCCAGTCTTGACGGAGGTTCCCCTCTCTTCTTCTGACACTTTGACCACCCCAGCAGAAGTCCGCTCCAAAATCTGCAAACGTTCAAAGCGAGATTCCGCAAGAGGAGAGAGCTGGCCAATGAAAACGCAGGACACCGTGATCGACAAGGGCGCTGAGCCAATCGCTGAGTCAAGGCGGGAGTTTACGTTCCTGGACTGGTTTCATTTCTTGTACCGTTAACTGACACAGACATAACTGTCCAATGAGCTGCTATAACCGTCTAACAAGCGTCAATTACAATTAAACTCAATATTTGATATAATATAACGAGGTCTATGTCACTTGTGTTTGTCAATCAGTACTCATTCACAGCGGAAATTAATTTCCATCAAGCCAAGAGTAGAGTAAATCATTGGCATAGCATAACTTTTATTGGCCTGATGAAATTCAAGACATTAATTATAAAAGCAAATCTATTCATTCATTATTCAACTTACATGCCTAACATTGCCTGGTATGACTGCACTCTGTGAGGCAGGACGGCTGCAGAGGAGGAAGAGAAAATCCTAATAGTAAAATTAAAGATACCACAAAGTAAAAATCTAAATGTTACTTAAGTGATAATACAGAGGTATTATGTGCAAAATGTAACAAGCGTCTTTTATGTAAAATCATTAACGGACACTCAGAGGATTATATCAATGTAATGCATGGATCGTACTGTATTTGGGTAACATTAAAGGGGCAATCCATCAATATTTCATATCAAGTGCAGTTTACTCACAGAGCGTAGCCTTATATTAAAACTGTGACAACAGTTGTATCATGTCTTCTGTGGCTCTGGAGGAAGCTGTCTGAAAAATATAACCCTGGTGATGTCATCATAGGCTCGGTGACGACAAACTGGGCTTGGAGACGACACGTGTTTAAGCCAGTGTCACAAACTGGGGTGGTGGAGTTTGAAAGACATGCATTAAACAGGCCTTAATTATAAACACCAGTTGCATCATTGAAAGTGTTGAATCCAGAGATTTTTAGGCTGGACTCGTCCCAGTGAGCACCAAACTGGATTTCAACGTTGATTTCTGGTTGAAACTCAGTCTGAACGTCTAAGATCCATTTTCACCGTCTTTTCAACCAGCTTGAATGCGGTTACAACATCAACATGTCACAAAACACCAATATGTTTTAAAATATTGATGGTTGGTTGAAAGAGACATGATATTGGTTACTGTGAACAAAACTCTCCAAAATCATATTACGCTGGCCGGTGAAATGTGGCTACACGAAGACGTGATTTCAACAAATTTAATGTTTCATACAAAACGTCATAAATATGGAACTATAGACTGTGTGCTGCCAACAAGAAGCTCCCAGGACATCGTGATGAGAGCAGAGCACATTCTGTCTGTACATTCATGTAAAATACGTGTCTGTGTTTACTGCTGGAACTTTGAGACTAAAAGTCAAGATATCTCAGGCTTTGACTTTAACAATAGAAAAATATATGTTTGATACAACTTTACTGAATTGCAATACTAAGTCACTAAAGTGCTGCATATTCCCTTGAATATGTACGCTACGTCTTGTAGCTGCTACAGATGGAGACAGTGTAATGTATCATGCTGTATAATTGTAATAGTTGTAGGAGCAACTATTGCTGTCAGATTAATATGGTGGAGCAAAACATTTGTTTGTCAATGAAAGAAAATGATTTGAAGTTTTCTTCCGTTATTCGTGGTTTATTTTATTGAATGCTGCACCCTTCTGGTTTTGTCATGCTTGCACTTATGGAAAAAGGGTTCCATTGCAAACATTTGTCCTCCTGCACAGAAACTTTTAAAATGTTCAGACAACTTGTCCCTGAGTAGCTCTGTTAATGACAAGACTACAGCGTGTGAACTTCTCCCAGCAGAGAGGAGCACTGGTGTGAGAACAACTGTGTCTGCTGTCAGGACTGGATGGAGGGCAGCAACCATCAACCTCCCTTGGCACTTTATTATTCTGGGAACTGAAACATGATTACAGCCCACACAGCCACAAGTATCCGCTCCTCCTGCCAATGAGCCAATCACAGTCGTCTGCAGCTGCTGAAGTTTCCCTTAAAGGCAGCCATCTCCGATGATGATGATGGACGGCCACGAACACTTAGTTCATTCATAATGTTTATGTCATAGTCTCAATAAGTAATATGCACTTCTGCTTTCACATAGAGAACATGATTGGGTATGTGAAAAAAAAAGTTGGTCGTGGTTTAATCACTGGCACATGGTGGCATGTCCAGCTCGACGTGCTTTACGTGATGACGTCGGGTTGTGTTGTGCGCCGAGTGAGTGCGCCGTCAACCTCAGTGGCAAAACAGGGAAGCCAGAACACGGACTGTCGTCCCACTTAACACAGGTAAACGCTCCTTACACGACTGACAGCATGTTTTTACTGCTATTCTCAACGCACAGCGCTCACACAGTACATTGTTACCGTGGTCATACGGACGTTACGTGGCTTACGCCGGAGTTACTAGCTAGCTTTCGTGAGCTAGCGCCGTTAGCTTGCAGCTACAGTTATGTCAGTGGACACACAGGTTCACGTTAGGTGAGCTATGATAGCTTAGCTACCGTGACAGGTAACGTTAGCTCCAAATGGATATCACAGTTAACAATTGTACTGTTATACTTTAGTCTCTGACAGTTAGCTACACTGACAGTTGGCAGCCACTGCCATTACTTTCACTGCAAGCTACATGGTTGACTATTTAGCTCTTTAAGTTGTCAGTGTCATGAATGTGAATGAATTATGGATTTCTTTTAATAGACTCCTCTTCATCATGGCGTTGAGAAGCGCCGTGTGTCGTCTCTTGGCGAACTCGCACAGATCCGCCATCATCTCAGCCTCCAGAGCACAGGGAACTGCAGCGGCTGCCAGATGTGGTAAGTGCTGTGATACCAAGTTTTTCCATCCAGGTGGTTTCAGTGTAATTTGTTATGTGTAACTAAATTCACCTTAGACAGCAGTATAATTATACTACATGGGACTTGTAGTTTGCTTAACTATTTTAGATTTCTAGGGAAAACAGTGCTATATCGTTTCTTGCCTCATAATCACTTTTCTGGTTTGAATCTTCCACAGATGCCGAGAAGGTTGAGGCGAAGTCTAAAACACGTAGGTGTTAACGGCTCCTTATTTCTGAAATCGTCGTCCGACGTTATGTTTTGAATTTGAGGCTCTCACCACAACGTGTTTGTATCCGCGGTTGAAAGGTTTCTGAACCGTCCCTCTTCTAAATGTCTGACAGCGAAGGTCCAGTTCAACTGGCGCGACGGCCTGAACCTGGAGGGCCTTCTGACGGAGGAGGAGGTCATGATCAGAGACTCCTTCCGGACCTACTGCCAAGAGAAGCTCATGCCTCGCATCGTTATGGCGAACAGAAATGAAGGTGCGAGACCGAATGAGATCTTGATATTTTGTTTGTCGACACACTCCAAGTTGAAATAACGTCACGTGACAGCTGCTTGTGTCCTTTCCTTCAGTGTTCCACAGAGAAATAGTGTCAGAGATGGGAGAGATGGGGGTCTTGGGCCCGACCATTAAAGGTGAGTCTGCTTTATTTTACAGGCTGTGAACACAATGGACAATAAATGTGTGTTTATTGTAGCATTTCTTTGTGAACTATAAACTGTCTATTTGTACTTCTGTGACTGTCTGAGTTGGACTTTGGCCATGTGCACAGCGGACCTGTGTGTTTTGTTTGTTCAGTCTATGATGAAAGCTTTTCAGTCCATTAAACCTGACTTTACTTATTCACTTTGATTCTTTGAACGTGAGTTTGATGCTTCACAATAACTCCTCTCCCCGTGTGTCACGTGAAGGCTACGGCTGTGCCGGGACGAGCTACGTGGCCTACGGGTTGATCGCCAGAGAGGTAGAGGCCGTGGACAGCGGCTATCGCTCCGTTATGAGCGTGCAGTCGTCGCTGGTCATGCACCCGATCAACGCCTACGGCACCGAGGAGCAGAAACAGAAGTACCTCCCCAAGCTGGGTGAGAGGAGGAAACGGCAGCAGCCACGGATATGAATGCGTTAGTCATAATGTGAGTGACTGAGCTCTTGGTTCACTCCCCTCTGTCTCTCCCAGCTCGGGGGGAGATCCTGGGCTGCTTTGGCTTGACGGAGCCAAACCACGGCAGCGACCCGAGCGGCATGGAAACCAGAGCCAAGTACAATCCATCCAGTCGCACCTACTCTCTCACCGGCTCTAAGACCTGGTGAGTAACATTGAAATCTAATAAATACCATCAAAACAGAACAATAAGAGGTGTTTCTAGAGCAATGTGAAGACTTCAAGTCAGGATTTTATGTCTGTAAAGACTTGGTTGCTTTAAGTATGTGATGTTAATATCGGGTATATTTACACGAGTGTTCTGAATGAATTCTCTGTAAACCGCATGGTACAGAGCAAACACTGACTGGTGATCTTAGTATTATGATTTGTTTTCTAGTCCTCTGATAAATTGTTTAACATCTGATGATAGTCTTCAGCGGCACAGAGCTCTATGACAGTAGCTGTCCACATGGTGGAGCTCTTCACAGCTTTAGTATTGAATGAAACTCACACAGTGCCTTTTTTCTAGGGTTTACAAAGGTCACATTTGATGAATCTGTGGTTGTAGTTTTTGTTTTTTAAAACTTCCTACAAGTAAATAAGGTTATTATGCTGTGAGGCAAAAGATATCTTGGAAGACATATTCCAAGATTACTGCTGTAAAGTACCCACCGTTATAGTTGCAGTTCAGATCGATGTGGTTTACTCTGTATGGTAAAAGTCAGGCCTACCAGTGCGTCTCCCTAACGCTCCCTTGGCCTCCACCCACCCTCAGGATCACCAACTCCCCGGTGGCGGACATCGCCGTCGTCTGGGCCAAGTGCGACGACGGGAAGATCCGCGGCTTCATCTTGGAGCGCGGCATGAAGGGCCTGACGACGCCCAAGATCGAGGGGAAGTTCTCCCTGAGAGCCTCCGCCACCGGCATGATCGTCATGGACGAGGTGGAGGTGCCCGAGGAGAACCTGCTGCCCAACGTCTCCGGCCTCGCAGTGAGTGGAGTGAAAACAGTCCGGTTATGCTAGCGACGTGTTTGTGGAACATGGTTAACTTTACACCTTTTCTCTCAGTGTTTTACTCACATTGCTGCTGCTTCCAGGGTCCCTTCGGCTGCCTGAACAACGCTCGCTACGGGATCGCCTGGGGCGCTCTGGGTGCAGCCGAGTTCTGCTTCCATGCAGCTCGACAGTACACACTCGACAGGTCGGACGTCCCAGTTGTCTCTGCGATGTCATATTTTCCATTTCACTTTTGATTGTTTCTTCATAAACATGTGGATAACACAGCGTCGTTGTTGTCGTCTGCACCAGAATCCAGTTTGGCGTGCCGCTGGCGAGGAATCAGCTGATGCAGAAGAAAATGGCCGACATGCTGACGGAGATCACCATCGGCCTGCAGGCCTGTCTGCAGCTGGGAAGGCTCATCGATGCTAAAAGGTAAAGACGACTTCATCCTCTGAGGGAGGTGTATTAGATGGGGTGTCGGCACTTTCCTGAGGGGCCCAACCATCAAACCACTCTGACCTCATTCAGGTGGAAGAGGAGGAAGTATTCTCTCCTTTGGTTCCCAACAGGGTCATGAAATAGTTTGATAGGCTGCTGTGTCTCATTTTGGTGCACCTGAGGCTGCTGGGATTTGTAAGTTTTGCAGGTATTTTGTCATAAAGCAAAAGTACTGGAAAATCTAGCCCGATGATGGCGCTAGATGAAAGGGTTACATGGATCACCGAAGTTATTCTAATTCATCCTGAGAGAAGTCGTCTGTAGTTTGTAGTTGTTGAGATAGTTCAGCCGGGACCAGAGCAGTTGACGCCAGAGTTTGCCGAACTAACGCAGAACTAACGCCGGTTGTTCTCGTCACAGCGCGGCTCCAGAGATGATCTCCATGCTGAAGAGGAACAGCTGCGGTAAAAGCCTCGACATCGCCAGGCAGGCCAGAGACATGCTGGGAGGAAACGGCATCTCCGACGAGTACCACATCATCCGCCACGTCATGAACCTGGAGGCGGTCAACACGTACGAAGGTGAGGAGGAAGAGAAATGCTTACACACACACGATAACGTGGGATGATACCAATGTCAGATTTTGAGCAGATTATGCAATTATTTACATTTGATTTGATTTGATTTGATCTTTTTTGGTCTCCTCCTCCAGGTACCCATGACATCCATGCCCTGATCCTGGGCCGAGCCATCACAGGACTGCAGTCCTTCACTGTGGGCAAATAGATCTAAACCTCAACCTGCCAAAACAACAGGAAGCTGCCGGCAGAAATGTAACTCGCATGTCACCTCATGAGTTCCCATCTGTAGAGTGACGGTGTTTGTTATCACTCGGGCTTAATAGAATATATATTTGAGTGCTTTATTATCAGAGAAATAACAAGTCGTTATTTAAGTGTGTCGGTACTTGCGGACTTGAAGTGTGATTAATTCAGAAGTTGATTTTTCCAACTCAAAAAAAGGCTATTTTTCTACTCTCAATCACAACCCTATCAGAGATCTTCTCAGCTCCCATAATGCACCGGTGTACAGACAAAGTCGAATTCATTGTATAGACTTTCATGGACTCTCTTGTCGTGAAGTATTGACGGTTGTGAATGAGGTCATGTTCTAGATTTGCTGCTGGTTACTTTAACATGATATTATAAAAAGGAAAAGGCATAACCACCACTTGTTTTAAACATGTGGAGCGTTTCTATGGTGTGAGAGAACATCGATGACGAGGTCAGTTACTACTGTGAGGTATTTTGTCACTAAGATGTCATAACTTTGCGTGGTTTGCCAGGGGTCAAGGATGGAGATCAGAGCGTAACTAAATAAGTTATTTAAGTTTAAGGAATATGTGAGTTTGATACATTAAGCCACACCCCTCCAGCCAGCTGTTAGTCCACTCTCAGTACGAGAGTGAGGGGTCGTGAGACGAATAATAAGGGAGGAAAGAACTATGTTCTGCTTTGTGTTCACATTTTGGACTTTTCTCTATTCTGACTTAAAAAGTGAAAATTCAAGAATCTTTAAACTGTCTTGAAGTGTCATAATTCTGTCTAAAATAAGTTGTAATTCTGACATAAAGCAATAACTACACAGATTTCTACTAACGTGTTGTGACTCGTTTCATTATGGAATATTGTGTGAAACTGTTATTTAAAAGAAACCGTCTTGAGAAGTTCAGAGAGGAGCTGCTAACGACACAAAGACATCTGAAGCCGAATCTGTTTGATCTTTAACATCGTGTCGTATTCAATAAGCACATCGGTTTTTAAGTGCAATCTTGAACTGAAAAGTCACCACAGCTGTTCAATATGCAGCGCAGCAAACGGCACAATATATCTCACTGCCTCTTGTGTAAAGTAAGACTGTAGCAGCTCCACGGGGGGCCTAACGCACTAAATGCATAAATCTGAGGACTGTACTGTTCATCCTCTCACTATCACAGTTTGACCTCTGAACTCATGTCAGTGTTAGTTCAGTAGAGAAGACGGGAGTCAAAGCTTTAGATACTGAAAATAACAAAAGCACAAATTTAAATACTCAAAAGGTTTCTATAGCTGATGACTCAACTTTGAACAATGAAATGATAAGCATGTGCAAAAGTCTGTCGGTCAAACGAGAAATGAATAATCCAATAATAACTGCCATCAGGACTCAAGTGTCCCCTCCCCCCCCCGGGGTTGCATCCTGTCCACATCATCCTATTTCATTTCTGCATATGAATACATGCACATAAAACGCAGCATCCACCTCCTTCAAGAGGACACGAAACATCACTGGTGCAAGAAGTCACATGATTAGTTAAGTGATCTCACCTGTGCACAGTGGAGGGGTTTCAACTGTCAGTAGCATGAACAGGTGTTATCTGGAAGATCCAGCGTATGGTGAGTTAGCATCGAGGCAAAACCTGCACCATGAAGACAAAAGAACACTCCAAGCACTGAATTCAACAGACTCCACTCTGAATTGTTTTCTTGAGATACTCTACTGTGACTTTTTTCTTGGAGTGCAGTGAAATAAATCATTGAGAAGTAGAAACACAGCTGTAAATCTGCAGCAGACCTTCAACTGTGAAGGAGGGACGGATAAAGACCTCCGCCCTCCGCGCTTCATTGCATGTCTGCCACTTTGAAGAGGAGGGGAATTAAAGAGCCGGCACATCCCCGCTCGTAAGCGATGGCGTGTTGTTCATGGCACTTAGATAAGGAAATAGCTTTTTTCCATAACTTTTATTTGTTTGCAAATAAAAAACAAAATACTCCACAGGTCGCCTTAAAACCACTTAACATAAACAAGATGTCCAGCTGCTGGGCACCACTTGGGCCAGATCAAGGAAACTCACTAACCGGCTTGGACCGGCTCTCACATCGGAAACAAAGGGCCTGATTGATTTTCCTACGGGGTGATTTCTCGGTAATTTGTGGGAATTAAGGACACGACGACAGCGGCGCGTGCACCTGTGTTTAGAGGACGGACTCGAAGCAGACGAGTCGTCCGAGTGGGCGGAGCTGACAAGTTTATACCCGCCGGCGAGGAGGGCGCGCGCTTCATTTCAGCACCAAGGACAGAGGCAGAGAAGGCAGAGCCGCTCGCGCACTGAACGCGTCACACGAGCAACTTACCTGCTGAACTCTTGGCACTCAGTTAACCGACAATTAGCATTCACTCACACATTTGGATGGATTTTGAGCTTCGAAATAAGGTTAGAAGTGAAGTTCAAAGTATCAAAAGTTGTTACTCACGTTCCCTTTTTGTCTTTTTTACACGTTTTCTCTTTCTTCTTTGCAGGAATTCACCATCTTCTCCTGACCATCACTCTCATGACTCCAGGTCTGAGTGAGGAGGAAGAAGACGAAAAGAAGTCGCTCTCGGTTGGAATAACACGTCCTTAATCATGAACGGCAACGTTATACCCGGCTTGAACTTCACCATTCCAGCGAAGGGTTACGCGTTATTACCGCCCACAGAAGAGCCTCTGTACAGGCAGTACAAGCCCGCAGTGAAGGACCTCATCCCTCTGCCCAAGGCGGTGTTGTATATGCTCATGGCGGTGCTGGTAGTCGTTGGTGTCGCCTATGCCATCGTGGGACATCTCATCAAGGATCTGGCCATTGACATAGCAGGTAATCGCTTACTGAAAATTAAAAGTGTAAGAGGTAATTTAGAGTTTTTAAGTCAAGTATTTAACATAGAGTGAAATGTATAAATTTCCATATTAATATCTCATACGAGGCTTCAGTAGCCATGCTGTTGGTGATCAATATGATAATAATGTGAAGTTAAGGTCAAGATCAGGTCTAATCACATGGACCCACAAAGAAGAACCCTTTATTAACATGTTGATTTGAGCCTAAACTGGATGTTATTTATCACTAGTAATGATATAAATAAGTGGATATTGTTACAATATTTTTGTGTGTGTTTAGGTTGGTTTGGTCAAGTTTGCATTTGCGCTAACGTTACTTGTGGCAGAAGCCTTTTCTGTTTATCTGTACTTTTAGCTAACTTTTAAACATTTATCCATTTAATTTAACATTAGCTAACTATTTAGCATTGTTCACTTATTCATTTTAGATATTTTACATTTTAACCTACTTTTAGCTACTTTTAGCTAACTATTACCGTTCTAATTAGCTAATGTAACGTTAGCTATTTTCAGCTGTTTCATTTAGCTAATTAGCATTATTCACCCAGTCATTTTAGCAGCTTTTTCACCATTTAGCTAACTTAGCATTACCGTTTACTCGCTGCTTTAAGTTAACTATTTCAGCTGCTCAATTTTAGCTAACGCTACACCTCCATTTAATTATATAATTAACTATTTCAGCTATTTATTCATTACTTTTAGCTAAAGTTAACAGTTTGAACTTATCTGCTCGCTTGCTAATTGTGTTAACTACTTTAACACTTAGTGTTCAGGTGCTTCAGTGGAATCAATATGTGAATATCTTTTTTATCAAACATATATATCGTTAACTTTAAATATAAAACAATTCTCTCTGACAATTTGAGCTAACGTTACTCTACAGTCTGCACAAGTACCGTTACCCCCTGAGGTAGATAATGTCTTACAGATATAAGTTATTATCTTTACAGTAAACCGTACCCTTTCATTATTGGTGATATTAAATCAATAATCTCTGTCTGTCTTATTTAGAGTGTGTGTTGGGCCCGACCGGTGATGAAGAGAAGGAGAAGGAAAATAACCCCCAGGCCATGGCCTCCAGCCAGCCCCCTGCAGTGCACCCGTTCGCCCACAACGCCTTCCACGTGTGGGACCAGGACGACGTGGTCATCACTCTGCCCCTGACCGAGAGCCCCCAGGTCAGCCCCATGCTGATGGCCGCCATCCCCTACATCCCCTCTTTCTTCCCGCACACGCACAGCCCAACGAGTCACAGCTCGCTGGCATTATTCAACAGCCCGGGGCCGGTCCAGGACCTCAGCATCTGACGGTGACGGGGGGGCCCCCGTGATCATGAACGGCCTTGAGGATGAGGTGTTGGAACCGACAGCACACATAAGACACAAGCAGATATGACTTTTAATGCGTAACGAGGAGGCCGGTAAGATATGGTTGTCCTAGTCTCATGTCGACTTCCTTCTTACATGTTAAAGGAAGTCAAACCCCCTGAGAAGGGGAACCCAAGGACAAGAGGTATTAGCTGAAACATGGACATTGTCTCTGCGTGCCTGAGTTTCATAGAGAAGCTGTTAGACGTGTTGGATTATGTTCATAGATAGATATTTTCTTTCTCTCAGAGTATAAAGTGTATCCTATTGATGGATCTTACTGGATGTTTCTTCTGTTACTCTTGTTCTTGCTCCTAAGGTGTACCATATGCTCTGCAAAAACAAAACAAAAGCCCAGCAGATCAGACTGTTTGGCGAAGGTTTTCTCCATGATCAGAGTCAACAAAGCCGTGTCCAGGCTGTAAAGCAACCAGCTGGCCGTCTCCCACGCTGGAGAGTAAAATGTTATTTCAAGGTACCAAAGGATTAGCTTAAGAGGAAGACTTAACGGAGTTCCAGCAATTCAAAGTAGAAAACACGACTTAATCCCCGCGGCCTTTACCTGCATGTGTCACACGCACTCACGGATTCCCCCCCGTTGCTGATTTGCAGAGCCCAGCGCCGCGGCTCACAGCACATAAACTACACGTTATGTGGCATGCTGGGAAAGAGAGACAATTTCTCATTTAGAACAAGCTCACAGCAACTTCTATTCCCAGACGTCAGTTATTAATAAATCACTGAAGTTGAATCACAACTTATTTTGCAGCTTCGGTTTGTTTGGCTGCTTTTATTTCAATTATGAACTAAATTCCAATCTCATTTTTAAAGCTCAGAATTGGTCTAAAACGCATTTTAAATGCAGAACTACAAAATCCAAAACAGTGGGCATGGTCTACTTGAGTTTGGTCATTTTTAAATTTTTTTTTTTAGGAAAGAACAAACATATAATCAGAGGTCAAATATTCTTGCAAGTTTTGTTCCTTTGCAGCCAAAGTGAACAACTCGGGTCCAGCTGATGTCATGTGAGATTAGGAAGTTCAGCGCTGAACTGTCTCTGAACTTGAGGAGCAGTGAAATGAAAACTTCACAGGGCGCCTTCATTGGAAATGAGATGAATGGCTTTCAACATGTGGCCCGATATTGAAACTCAGGGAGGTAAACGTTACAGGACGTAAGGTTGTTAAAGGAGGTGTGAAGATCAACTGTAATCCCACAATCCCAAACATAGCCGCAGCTTCTTTTCCATCACAGACACGACAAACCTGCGATGCAACTGGATGCAAAAACGTACGATAATATGAATCTGTAAATCAGGATGTTTGAATTATAAATTTGCATTTGCGTTCTGGGTGGTTTGGAGACAGAGGATTCAAAGGTTTCGCATTCTAAAGAAACATTATATATATTCTATAAATTGTTTTCTAGTTCAGGTGTTTATCAGATACTTACAGTTCAGTCCCGTCACCCTGGTGTGTCTGCTGCGTTAGTTATAAACACACAGAGAGCAACAGCTCACTTAAACGTTCCTCAACCAGCAGCTGCAAAACCTGAATTTAAATCCTCACTTTCAGTTAGAATCTTTGTGTTCTCGTGGTAGGAGGTGCTTGATACCGATAAGCTATTCCACTGAGACAGCATGCTGGGCCAAAAACAGACATCCGAGGGGAGGAGGCGGGACTTGGTTGGTCCCGTCTTTGCAGGTCCAACCTTACAGCACCAAGTCAGACAGGAGATGTGAAAGATAATTTTTAACGTTTTAAAAGTCGTGTAGAACCTCAGATCATAATACGTCACGTTTACAACAACAAACACACAAGTCGGGTTGTACTGGTATATTGAAAAAGTGTTTTATTTTTTCATGTACAAGTAGAAACTGGGTCACGGTGATGTAAAGGAGAAAAGAAGAAGCTGTTCTCGCACTGAAGGGATGTGTTTTCCAGTAATAAGTTCATACAAACGCTGCTCCTGTGTGTTAAAAGGCCTTTGACAAACAGCTTCCTGTGGTCTGTCTGAAGAGTTTAGGGGATAAACAGACCCTCCTCCTGCTGCAGTCGCTTTCAGACCAACTGGCTTTTACCAGCCCGGCTCAGACCGGGAGCAGCAACTGGGGTGAGGCGCAGAAACGAGGTGTCCTGAAGGATTGGGGGGGGGGGGGGGCTCAGAACTCCAGTCGACATATGGGGCTGTCGTAGACCATCTGCAGGTTCACCTTGTGTCCCACCAGCTCCCTGATGTTGTTGATGCCGTATTTGATCATGGTGGGCCTGCGGGTCAGAGGAGAAGCTGTTGTTGTTACGTGTAAACGCAGCCGTAACTGAGGCTAAAGTGTTTGTGTTGTGTCTTATTCCAGGTCTGATGTGTCAGAGCAAAGACACAGCACAGCTCACTCGCTCCATGTTAGCCATGACTGTTAAAACTTAGAATAGGAAATAATTTGAATAAATAATGTGAATTTTAAATCGTTTCTAAGCAGGAATAACCCTGATCAGTTAATAACTCCAAACATGTGAGATGTGGGTCAGACAGACGGGAGCACTGAAGACGTCTATAGACTGGACTTTAATCTCTTCAATGGAATGAGATTAACGTCCAGGTGAAGTCTGTACAGACATACAGATGTGCTCCTGGCTGTAAAATAAAGACCAGGTCAGTTTTGTGTGTGTGTGTGTGTGTGTTCACCTCTCCAGAGACAGCCCCCAGGCAATTACAGACACGTCCTCAGGGAGACCCATGGGCAGCAGCATCTCTGGTCTGAAGACCCCGGAGTTCCCCAGCTCCACCCACTTCTTCAGTCCTGCATGAACGGAGACAGATTACACTCAAATTATACACAAACCACAAAAACAGAACGGTCCAATAACAGGCAGGGAGAAGTTGAGTAAACGGGATTAAAGGTTTTCAGGCAGTAACACATAGAAAGGTTCATTTTTAGTCGGATTATTCAACCTAAAGCTAGAATGTTCCTAAAAACACTCAGACTGCACAGCGCCTGTGATCAGCTTCACAGAATGTGGTCTTTATTGTAACTAGTTTTACATTGATTATTTACAGTCTGTGTCATCTTACTAGATGTCTGTTTGTCTGTTCGTATTCAAATCAATACAACACATTGAGAGCAGTAGAAGCAAGAGTCAGAAGCAGAGACGGCTGCTACTGTGACCTTGTGATCTGCTAAGTTAGTTAGCATTAGCAGGTGTTTACTTGGGGGCTTTTCCTCAGTCGTGATTGGATTTAGCTGCTGTCTAAGTTAGTTATGGAGAAAGAAAGAGTTTCACTTCGTTTACAGACGACAGCTCGGGCACAATTAGTTTAAGACATTTTAACTCGTGTTTGAATACACAAACGTGTTTGAATACATTTCTTTTACAGCCGGCCCCCAGAATAAAGAGTTTGGGACACACTGCTGTGGAGCACTTTACCTTCGTGGTAGCTGAACACTTCCATGCTGGGCTCTGTGTATGGGTTGTAGGCAGGCTTGAAGCGCAGTTTGGTAATTCCTAGAAAAGAAAAGAAGGAAGGCCGGATCAGTGTGGCGTGAAAAAAAGAACAAGGCAGACAACAATCAGCAAACCTCAGTGTTCAAAACACTGTGTTTCGTGCCTCTAGTAAAACAATGTAGTTCATGCAGTCACCCCCCCCCTCACCTAGCTTGGCGAAGAACTTGTGCAGGGTGCCCATGAGGTCCCCCAGTGTGAGCCCGCGGTCGGCCATCACGCCCTCGATCTGGTGGAACTCGGCCAGATGCGTGGCGTCCAGGGTCTCGTTCCTGAACACGCGGTCGATGGAGAAATACTTGACGGGGGTGAACTTCTCCTGGTGGGGGGGAGAGAAGAGTCACGCGTACACAGTACACTTGATATACTGACGCACGGTCAGAAGTGTGTGGACGCCTGAACGTGGTTGGTGAACATCTTAGTTTAAACTTTGTGCTGCTGTCGACGGTTCTTGAAGTAAAAAAAAAAAAAAAGATATTCCTGCTGCTGAGAATGTCTGAAGTTCACGTTTTTTTTTTTTTTTTTACAAGGTTTGTAACGAAATGAAAATGATTACACGGAAATGGAAACAAAAACTATTTATTTTCAATGGTGAACAGAGGATGAGTTGGGAGAAGAAGCTGCTCTGTAGACGTTTTCTTTGAGTCTCCTTTTTTCACGACACGGTTGAAGATTTCAATCCTATTAGTATCTATTTTTGGGAACTTGCCAAGCCGTGTATGTGAAGCAGCACCGTCGTGAGCGTGGTTTAAAAAGTCCGCAGTGACTTCCTGGGCGTTAAATCGACTCACCTGCTGAGCCAGTTTGTACAGCATGCGTGCGCTGACGGCCGTGGTGTGAGTGCGGAGGATGTTCTTCTGAGCCTCCTCGATCTTCCAGTCGTATTTGTACCTGAAACACAGCAGCGTATGAGATAAGCAGTCACAGGCTGTGTTGAGAGCTGTTTAAAAGGGGAAAGGGAAAAGCAGCCGCATGTCATGTGGATGTCCGATCAGTGTTGGTGGTCAATGTAGTCGATCGAGTCCTTTATGAGTGTTGACTGAGAAACTTGTTGTATCACAGGAGCGAATATGACTTCTGGAGATCATATGCTTCCAATACCAATCGCAGATCATCGATGATCCTTAAGTCTGTGGAGACCAACTTCTAAATGTTTTCTTTCACTTTGTTACAGTCATAAAATTCTAATTATGGATTAGGAAATAAAAGATTATATATTTCTATTGAAAAATGTGTAGTTTTAATGATGTATTAAAAGCTGCTTAGAGCTTGTGTTAGGTGAAGTTAAACAGATAATTCATCTCTAATATCTATTTTAGAATGCTGTTAAAATATCTCCTTCAAATAACTGCATTTATTCAGGTTTCCCGCCAAAACCTATATTTTACAAGATTACATTTGAAAGCATCGTGACAATCGCCCAATACTCATTTTACTGAATGGAGCATGAACGCATCATAATGGAACTCAATGGAACCTCTGTATGTTATAACGACAGCTGTTAGCTGTTGCTGCTAACGCTACTAGCTCTCCTCCTGCTGATTTCACACGGTTACACCGTCAGTGATCGGTGACTAGAAAGCGTTGATGCTGATCTCCTGGCTGCATCTCTGACTGAACAGCGACAGGAAAACTGTATTTCAGACTTTGATTAAACTGTGTCAATAATCCGCGGCTCACATGTGAACCGTGACGAGGAATCCTTCCGGATCGACTACAGTCCGTTACGCCACCAGCTGCCAGCGGTCACGGCGAGAGGGAGAACTTCTTCAGTGGATTCAGCTCACACTGAGGGAGTTGTTGCGTCACTCGACTACATTTCCCATCAACACCGACTGGACATTCAGATAAAAAAAAGGCGGCGAATCGTCCCTTTATTAAATTTGACTGATGCTCGTGTCTCACCCTTGTGAGCCGTAGCCTCCCTCTGAGTGGACCTTCTTCACTCTCTCCAGGTAGTCCTGAGGGAACTCATGGGCGAGCGCTGGGTCTGGGGAAGAAAACAACATGTTTCGGTGTAAATGATCATTAACAGTGACTTGGACACAGCCGGGAGCGACAGGACTCGCGGAGCCTCACCGGACAGGAAGAAGGTGTCGTGCTGGTCTCGGGCCGGGTGCTGCTGGGGCTGGAACAGGGAGTCGAAGTTCCAGAAAGAGCTCTCTATGAAGTTGTTGGTCGGCATCTCCGTGAAGCTACGGGCAGCAGAGAGTCCGTGTGATGTATTTATTTATTTGTGTGTGTTTTTTGAACGGTGATATTTCCAGCCGCTCGCTCACCCCATCTCCAGGAAGATCTGCCTGAACTGTGTTCGCACCTTCATCAGCGGGTGCATGTGGCCGCAGTCCGGGGCCACGCCCATGGCCTCGAAGTTGTAGGGCTTAAACTTCTTCTCTTTCCAGCTGCCACTGCAACACAATGCGAACGAAAGCTGTTAGGGGGGGGGGGGGGGGGGGTCTGAAAAAGGGGGAAAGGCACTGACTGCTGTGACCTCGGCTGTTTGTCCTTAATTCTTCATCGTCAGCAGGTTTTAACCGACGATAATAATATTAATAATATTTCTCCCGACTCATTTAAACATTTTGTAATCTGCAGCTGAGGTGATTGAGAGCATCAGTCGGCGCAGAGAAGTAAAAGTAGCAGCACGCTGAAATATTTGGGTCGGGGGAAGAAGGACCATCTGGATGCTGCTTTTAGCTCAATCCCCTCTATGATGCGATTTCATGAAAAACTTAATTCCGCACGCATTTTAATGCCTCATCCTCAGCATGAAAACAGCACAAGCTGTATGATGAGCATGTCGATTATTTATTTATCTTTGTGCATTTCCTATTTCACAGACACTGACGATTTTAAGGTTTGGTTTGTCTGTTCTGGGCTACCGTAGGAACATGGCGGTGCAACACGCTGAACTCCGTGAAACCAGCTCCCTGTGTAGATGTGAAGGGCTCACGCTAGAACAGAGACAGAGAACGTTTAAGCATTTAACACAGGAGGGGAACACAATAAGCTTGCTAACTTGTCCCTTCATCATTGTAGTTATCAGCTGAAATCTTTAGTCTTCAGCCACCTACAGGACTTTTCTTAACATTTCAGCCCATTGGTTACATATTGTGACGCCAAAAGTTTTCCCGTCCGGTGGGCGTGGTTGACACAGCGTGGCGCTCCGTCTCTACACTAGAATCTATTTCTGCTAATAAATCCTTCACGCTGGACCTGAAGACCACTAAGAACCTGAAATTGAATTAACAGAATTCCTGAGATAACTCATCCTTACGTGGTCAACGTGTCTTAAATGAATCGTTTGCTTCCGTTATGTCGGTTTGGTTGTGTCATATTTGTCGTGGTCGCGATCATTCTGTCCAGCCCTGCCTTTAGCGCAAAGTCCTCGTCTTTGGACTTGCACCCTTTTTATGGGCGGAGGTTTCTCTGTGTCCTTCTGTCCGAGTCCCTGAACACAGCGTCACTGACAGACGGAGGAGGGCAGACGGGACACACTTTTTTATTAATATTGTGTTTACATTTTAAAGTGAAACTAAACAGGACTGTACTCACTTGGCAATCATCTCAGGAGTGAGCTCCGTCTCCTGTTTGGTGATGGTGGTGCTGAAGGAGCTGCCCTTCGTGATCCAGTACGACTTCACCGTCCTAAACAACGAACAAACACGTTGAGACGCATTTTCTTTTTATTCTCAGTGGTCAATATGTCCTGATAATATCTTCCCTCAGGAGAAGGATGCTCGCTTATATCGGCTTAGTGCATCTGTAGTCTGGCTGCAACCCTGGTTTCAACCCAGAGCATATTCCAGTAGGTTTTATGTGTCCCCCATGTGCATTCTAAATGTAAGGTTCTTGACTTGCTGTTCTCCAGAAGTACAGAGGAGTTATTACAAATGTTGTTTGAATATTTAGATATCAGCAACAACAGATTCAAACTGCAACGTGAAGTCTTCTTTTCCCTCCATTTAAGGGCACCGGTTTCTTTATCTGCAAATTATCTTCAACGCAGTTATTAAAAACATATACAAATGTGGTCCCAACATTATTCTGACTCATGTAGGGTCAACACTGATCCACAACAAACCTTCTACTGCCACCTACTGGTGGACAAAGGTACACAAAGATGTAAGGACTTACACTTCAGAGAGCAGCTTTCTCTTCTTCAGCTCGTTCTTCTCTTTCTCTTCCAGCTGAGAGGAGTTACCTCTCTGAACCAGGAGCAGCCTCTCCCTGACCTGGTCCTCTATGCTCTCCACCTGGAGGGGGACACACGACCACACACACTTTACTCAGAATCCACCGCTCACAAAAGGCCGTGATAATAAGAGTCGATAATAAGAGTCATCTTGACGCGTACCATCCTGAATATCCTGGGGCCGCCCTCGTGTGCCTTGTCCACTCGGATCCACTTGCTGGACATGGCCTTGCTGAAGCCGATCTTCCCGAAGGACAGTTTCTGCACGGGGACGAAGACGGGAGGAAGAGCAATGTCAGCGGAAACAAACAGCATGAGCATTATGTGTTTATGGAAGAACAACGACATGGATGATCCCCCACATATTTTGGATGTTAAAACTTGTGACTGTAAGCCAATGTTTCCACCTTTCCTTTATTATTTCATCTTTATGCTGTCTTGTACTTTCTGATGAATCACAGGAGCAAGAATGTAACGAGAGAAAGAGAGCGTTTAACTTAAAGTTATACGTTATATCTATAAATACGTTGACATTTAAAGAGCGTGGAATTTTAGACTTTTGTTTTATTCATCTTTGAATTTCCTATTTCAGATAAATAGATCCAGTGTCAGAAGTACCAGGTTTAAAATGTGCATTCCATCTAAAATGGAAAAATGAGCGAGCTCTTGTTTTTATATATAGCTAATATATACATTTCAACAATTAGTGTGGCATGCGCCTCACAATTATTTTTATTATCTGCCATTTTTCACCTCTGTTTTATCCCATTTCGCCTATAAAATGCCAGAAAATTGTGGAAAAAAAACGTAATTTCCCACAAACTACGGTGAAATCTAGAAATGTCGTGTCAGTCCAAAATCCAAAGATTCTCAGTTTACGAAGACAAAGACAATCGTCAAATCCTCACATTTTAGAAACTAGGATCAACAATCCTTTCTTAAAAATATACTAAACAATTATTAGATTCATTTTCTGTTAATCGACTAATTGGTTGACAGTAGATATTGCAGTAGTACATCAATATATTACCTTTTGAGATGCAGGTTTAGGAAACCTTCCTGCAGTGCAGGATTCAGAAGAGCATACACTAAACTAGTAGAATGACGCCCTGACATTATTTAGGTACATAGAACTTCATGCTTGCTACATTCTCACGTGCTATCTTTCCACATTGCCTTTACACCTGAAACACAACCAGAACCCCCACCAGAACCCCCACCAGAACCCCCACCAGAACCTCTTCACTTCCAGCCCCGGCGGGTGACGCGTCACTCCCACCGCGGTGGACCTGACCCGTCCCTCCCGCCTGTCAACACTCACCATGAGCTCGCTCTGTGCCAGACCCTCCGGCGGGACGGAGCCGAAGACCCGGGCTTCGTGGCTGCCCTGCTCGGCTATCTCCGTGCCCTCACCCGACAGCTCCCAGTGCTTGGAGGTGCGCAGCTCGGCTGAGATTAACTGGAGAGCGGGGGACAAAGGCAGACTTCAAAGTGTGAATATTCATGATAACTGGCTAAATTAACTGTTTTACTTCACTGCTTCACTGCTAAACTAAAAACCGGTCAGCCAGAACAGCTCTGACTAACACTTGTCTCTTTAACGTCGACGTTATTGCATCAGTCGCACTAAATGCCCAATGTTGACGCTGACGGTCGGACATCCGCCGCCGCTCAGCCCGGGAAACTCACGTCGCCGAGAGCCTGCAGACTCTTCACGGCTCCGACGAGGACCTGGTGGTCCACCCCGAGGCTGTTGGCCGCTTCGACGCTGTCCACGCCGTCGTCCGCCTTCTCAATGCGCCGTAGGAGCGTCTCCACCACACCGGTGTCCGCCATGCTGGAGCCGTGCGAAACCCGAAAGAGACCGGATGTGACATCGCGTTACCGAAGGCCGAATGTCTTGGAGTAGCGAGACGTCAAAAAGGTGGAAATGGTTTACCGTAAATACTGTAGTTAATTTGTTTTTGTAGTGCCCTTTTAGTCTTTTTTTTTTTAATATGAACTTTTGCTATTAGAATATAATTAAATAACTTTCCAGCTGTAAATTTCTGATATTTAAATCCCATTAGCACAATAATAAATTCGGAAATGCAAAATAAAAGGTAAAAACCTAATTAAAGGACAGTCACAAAGCTCAAACAGTACATTTATTTGTTTAATTTCAATCCTGAATAAGAACAAATTAAAGACTTAGAGACTTAGTATTTAAGTCTCTATATGACCCTCCCTATTTTAACAGTAGCCCATCACAACTATATAGAGCCACTGAAGTCTATATTATGTTATTTTCATAATTGACCTTTCTTATAGATAAAACCTTTTAGTTTTACCCCTTTCTAATAAGACACATTTCATAAACTAGCCATATCAGTTGCAACTAATATTAAAAACCCATGTTTTAGAGATGTTATTAGCCATTAAAGTTTTGGGTTGCCAGGTTGTGAAAACTCTAGCTGGTGAGCCCTCAACAGTGAAGTAATTCACGGTTAATCTGGTCATTAGGTCATGTATTTCCCACTTTATAATAATAGTATCAATGGTACAAATACTTGATATTTTAATAAAGACTTCTATTCAAAATAAAAATCATTTTTTAATACAAACCCTTTGTTATACATTAACAGGAACAAATCCAACCCAATGAAAAAGCTACATTGAGCAGAAATGTGGATGTGACATCAGAATGCAAGTATATTTCCCAAAAAACAGTTATTAAAATAACTACATCACATCAGGTAAATTACAAAATAAGCCGAAATTACAAGCAATGCAGAACAGAAGAAGCTAGTCGGGGTCTAATGAATTATTACAAAAAAGCACAACAAGCTTTGTAGTTTTAAAACTACAAGATTTGACTAGTTTCACAGGAGAAAAGAAAACGGCTGTCCCCACACACCTCTTCATAGTAAAAGGAAACAGTCAGAGCCAGTGAGTAGTTGGAAGAATCAGCCTTCAATATTTAGTGATGAAGCAGAGGACTGGTAGCATAGATTTAAAACAAATCATAAAAATAAGAATAACCTAAAAACACAAGACTAAGCACTGACCAGACCACTGAAACAGACCACTAAATTCAGCCGCGACTCATCTCTTGACTCTTAAAAAAGTCCAGACAACTCTATTTGTGTCCCACATGTGCCACATTTAAACCCAAAAGCGCATAAGAAGCAAACACGGAAAAAGGCAGAGAGCACAGGCAGTCGCTTTCTTTGGAGACGGCTCCAGACACCGACGCTTTGTGCCGAGGATTCACAGGCGGAGTGATTAGAGTTTATCTGTACTGGTAGTTCATGCTGCCGTCTCCCCTGCCGTAGCCCACTGGGTTCTGGTACTGACAGTGGCTGGTGCCGAAGCCCTGGTTGTTGTTGGGTCCGAAGCCCTGGTTGTTGCTGGGTCCGAAGCCCTGGTTGTTGCTGGGTCCGAAGCCCTGGTTGTTGCTGGGTCCGAAGCCCTGGTTGTTGYTGGGTCCTGCCCCTCCTCCTCCCGCTACCCCCTGTGAGTTGTAATTGGACTGGTTGTTGAAACCTACAAGGAAAGCGTGTGGTAGTTAGTGAAAATATTTTCCAAAAGAAAAAAGGTATAACAACATCTTCTGTCTTATAAAGATGGCAAAACTGCAATAAATCATATTTTGGCCACTTATGGGCAGCGGAAACAAGCATTGTTGTGAACACATGTTACAACAACAGAATAGAAGACGGAATCATTTAGTATGTAGTTATACCAAGAAAAATGTGGTAACATGAAGTATACGTTAGCGTGAAAAGGATCTTCTTAAAACAAGAATATCTTCTCGTTATTACAAGAAACAGAGCATTTATTTTAACGAGATAATAAATATGTCAACTTTTTTTTTTTTTGCCACATCTAAGGTCAAGCATGTAAAAAAACCCTAAACACGACCATGTAAACCGGTTATTTTAACAAGGGTAGTGTCTTTTCTTTAGGCATTGAATGGATTTCTATCATTTTAAACAACTGAAGTTTTTATACAACAAACCAGCTCACCCCTTTCAACAAGAAATGTTCCTCGTTTTAATGAGATACATTGGTTTTCTGTTTTAACGTGATGTGGACTTTCTCGTGACAAACAGACAGATACAGTATTACAGTACTGCCATCACGCTGCTGAAACGTAAAATCAAATTCTGTATCAAAATAGTTTCGACCATGAACAACAACAATCCCCTTAACTCACCTTCATAGCTGTAGTCTTGGCTGCCTCCGGCGCCCCCCGTCACCAGGCTGGGATAGGTGGTGCTATACGAGTATCCGCCCGCCCCCCCCTGGTTCTGGTTGAAAGTCTTCTTCCCCTGGACGTTCCCCTGGACGTAGCCCTGGCTGTAGCCCTGGCCGTAGCCCTGGCCGTAGCCCTGGCCGTACTGGTTATAGAAGCCCTGCCCGGGGGGGTTGCTGGACTGGTATCCCCCTGCAGCTCCACTGTTCGCCCCTGGGAGACCTGTAAAGGGCGCCATCCCTCCCGTGTTCATGGGGAGTTTCTTTTTGGCAGTTTTCGCAGCGGACATGGCGGTGTAGGCGCCGTCGTTCTGGTAGTACGAGCCGTAGGAGCCCTGAGCTGATCCCGGCACTGGGCTGGCTGGGGGGCCAAACAACGGGCTGTTCGATACCCCGCCTCCTCCGTCCGTGCCACCGTTGTTGTAGTAATCTGGGAAATAACAGCATGGCACAATCTTAAAATGGGCACGACTCGGCATATTTTGAAAAGCTACTGCTTGCATACACTCGACATGTACTCTGGAATTAATTCGGAGTAACAGCGATTAATGGTGACATCACATTTATTTATAAAAAAAGAACATATAAAAGCAAGGAGTCTTCCCTTCCCAAACATTCAGATTCCCCAATTCACAAAGTCTGTGTGTGTGCAAACTTAGTGGCAAACAGCCTCAGTTCATCAACGCCTACTGCTGTTACAGATGGGATACTGCGACACGGACAAAGTTAAGACAATCATGCATTCAGTGGAGCCATGACTCAACAGTGTAGCCGATATGACACAGAAACGGCAGATTCTACATAAAAAACAGATGAAAAAAAAGACATCTCAATCGTGTTTGGAAGGGACAGAATATTAAAATGAAAAAAACAAATCATGTTAAGATTTTTCTCAGTATTCTCATCTAAGTAAACAGTTTGGAGAGAGAGAGACAGAGAGAGAGACAGAGACAGAGAGGACAGAGAGAGAGAGCGAGACAGAGAGGACAGAGAGAGAGAGAGAGCGAGAGGACAGAGAGAGAGACAGAGAGAGAGAGAGACAGAGAGAGAGAGAGAGAGAGAGAAGAGAGACAGACAGACAGAGAGAGAGAGAGACAGAGAGAGAGGACAGAGAGAGCGAGACAGAGAGCGAGAGAGCGAGACAGAGAGAGGACAGAGAGAGAGAGCGAGACAGAGAGAGAGAGAGAGAGGACACAGAGAGAGAGAGAGAGGACACAGAGAGAGAGAGAGAGAGAGAGAGAGAGAGCGAGACAGAGAGGACAGAGAGAGAGAGAGAGAGAGACAGAGAGGACAGAGAGAGAGAGACAGAGAGGACAGAGAGAGAGAGAGAGGACACAGAGAGAGAGAGGACACAGAGAGAGAGAGAGAGAGAGAGCGAGACAGAGAGAGGACAGAGAGAGCGAGAGAGCGAGACAGAGCGAGACAGAGAGAGGACAGAGAGAGAGAGAGAGGACACAGAGAGAGAGAGAGGACACAGAGAGAGAGAGAGAGAGAGAGAGCGAGACAGAGAGGACAGAGAGAGAGAGAGAGAGAGAGCGAGACAGAGAGGACAGAGAGAGAGAGAGAGAGAGAGAGAGACAGAGAGGACAGAAATGACAGGCTGTTGCAGTCTTGACAATAATCCAAAAGGCAGTATGTTGTCCAGCTCCCACAGGCCTTCACTTAATCGTGATCCAAATAAACGGAGACAAATCCCTCTGCCGGGTCTGACACATGGAGGCAATCGACAATAAATCAGCCCTGTTTGGGCGGGGGTGGGGTCCAGGCGTTTAGGTACATCCACAGTGGGTGACTTATGTTTACACGCATGCAGTGGCAGATCGTCTCCCCCGAAGTGTCACGACGTGACAAGTGGACTGGCAAGACAGGGTGGAGGGGGGGGGTGTCACTTTATTCCCAGGCTTGCGGACTTGACGGTGAAGACAGTTCATGATGCTGCTGGAACACTACTGAGAAGTTTGTCCTTTTTTTTGTTATCCTTTCTACAGGACAGTTTTTGATTTGTATAAGACTGGGGAAGATCTATGTCGCAAACTCGTGGTAGCCATAGCAGTCTGAGACAAAGTCACCTAAAGAGTGAGACAGGGCAGAGAAGGGGGGGGGGGGAAATATCAAAATTAGATTGTTTATTTGGATTTTTTTTTTTTTTAAATTTCTGCCATAAAATAGGCAGGTGTGTGACTCATTTGGTCAGGTTTTTTTTTAGTTGTATTTTTTAGATTTCTCTGCTCCTGTCACGCTCAGGTAGGTCAGTCCTCAGAACGGGCTGCCAGAGGGAAGAAATGGGTTCTCATAAGAGGGGGGGAGGGTTGTCAAAAACAGATTCAATCCTGTGGCTTAAAGCAGAGAAATGTAAAATCATTGAACTGGGACCGTCCCAACATGGTTTATCATGACGTGGTCTTGTTTGCACTGGAGTGGAACCGTCTTCTAGAATAGGCCACGTTCTCTAGTTCTGTAGCTATGAACACAGGTAACAGTGTTTTCTTTACAGTCCGGGCCAGATGCACCATCCCGCCCCAGGACACAACATCCATTTCTTACATCAAAGCTTCACTGCAGCCCAGACAAAGAGCAGCTATCCAGTCAAACCAGGATTATCATAATGGGTGAAATGAATACTCACTGTATCCGGAGACAGTGTTGTTCCCGTAGCCGTACGTTCCGAAGCCACCTGGCCGGATGAAAGTCAGTTTAATACGCTGACTTTAAAGCCCCGTCGATCTCAATAATGACGTCTTCTAATGTTTTACCAGAACACAGAGTACGTCTGCTACGGCGAAAGCTGTGTTTTTACCTCCTTGGCCGTAGCCTCCTCCGTTATTGAAGCTCCTCCCCCTCCCGCGACCTCGTCCTCGTCCTGCTCTCCCTCGGCCCCTGCGTGAAGCGGCGTCTCCAGCCACGGAGGCTCCCATCATGCCGAAGCCTGGCGCGTGCTGACAGGGAGACAAACTAAAGTCAGATGCTGAACAGCAATTTTCCTCTCTGTGAGGACGTTTAACCCTGTGAAGCCTCGCTCGTTAAATAATTAGATATTCTGTTTGGAAAAGAAACATATTTGAACTGATTTTAGCATTTATGGCAATCTATATACCTCAGATTTTACTCGACATAACATAATATACACATATATACA